AATAAGATAATTACCGCCTTATGATTAACCCTTGAAAATTACATTGATCAATATAATCCACGAAGAGGCAGCTGTCTTTTAAGGACACCATGATCAAAAAGTTAACACAAGTTTAAGAATCGTATAATTAGTTTTTCTTTTGATTTTTCATTTGTTTCTATGCACTACAGAGAGAAGGAAAAATGTTGAATCCTGTTTACCTTCCTTTGGGTACATATACTCGACTCGGAAGCATATATAGGCAGTTACTCCCCCTTTCTATTAGTATTATCGTGTCATTTGAACAACTGTTATCTGTTAATGTTCAAAAAAGTCTTATACCTATTACCTTTATCATCCAATATAGAATATTGTCTGACAAAGTATGTTTACCCAAAAAAGTAATACAAAATACCAGGTTTATAAATGTGTACGCCAGATGTGCGTTTCGTCTACTAAAGACTCATAGGTGACGCTCAAATAAAAAAAAAAACCTTAGCAAGCCAAAATCAGTATAAGATCTATTGATATAAGATACAAGTGTAAACATATGAGCGAAAATCAATAGGTATTTAAGTTCTTTTCCAGGTTCTGATCCTAAATCGAATGACTTCAACTTAACGTTGAATTATTTGTCTTCTTCGAAACCTGACACAAATAGCTATTCAGGACCAGCTACTACAACCATCTAACTTGAGTGAAGGAGCGGCTGTATCTAGAATAAAGTTATACAGGAATCAAATTGTTCATTCTGACTCCGGTGCCATGTCTGACGCGGACTTCATAACAACATTTGCTGAAGTTACTAAGGTAAGAAACCCAAAATGAACACAAATGAAAGAAAAAAAAAAACAACAACAGGAGTCTCGATTAACATGATTAAGGTTTATTATAAATATTGATATCAAAAACTTTAATAACTTGACCAATAAATGATCTTCCTAAATCAGTCACGTAATCCTCGATGTAAACACTATTTTTTTCGAGATACCATTTCAATATTACTGAATTATGAATCAATAAAACGATAAAAAAACTTACATGATTTAACCTTAAATTTCTAAGTATTTCAAGTTCATAGTTAGAGGTACATGTACGACATATTACATGCAAACAATGTAAAATGTATATTATACTAGAAAATACCCGCGAAATATACTTTGGTTCATAATTTGAAGATATATAGTTTTGATGTAAGGCGATATTAAGATCTTAAATCTTTTTGAAGCGTGTCACAGACGAAATACCATCACTCAATATGACACCCAAAAGAATAGTCTTCCCGACAGAAACTCATTAATATATGAATGGGTGGTCACATTCCAGCCGCACTTCTGTACCCATTTTTTACCGAAAACCGAAATAATCCCCCAACCCTTTAGTGTATACTTTTTGCTGAGCAGACCATAATAATTGCAGACAAAGCGGAAATGATGACGGCACGTACATTTTTGCTAATTTACCCTAAAATATTTCGCAACATGCTCCGTTCCGCAGAACAATGTTTTTTGCACCCCCCCCCCCTTTCCTCCCTCTAACATTAAATCCTGGATCCGCACCTGATTTCTGGTGTTTCCGTGCTCAGAACCACCCCATATATGAGTGGGCTGAACATTTTATGCATTAATATATGAATGGGGGTGGGTCACATTCCAGTCGCACTTCGGTACCCATTTTTAACCGAAAACTGAAGTAATCCCCCCACCCTTTTCATGTTGAATTGATGCGGTTCCCCGGAAGGAAAAACTCTTTACATGTAAAAATCAGTTGTTAAATTGCGTCAAGGGAATGTGTATCACAAAGTGTTTCAGTGTATGGTCAATATTTACCGTATCTGCTCCGAAATAAAATTTAATTTTGCCGGGCAGACGTGCAATGACGGAAATGATGACGGCACGTAAATTTCAGAGCCGAACGTCGTGAAGGACGGTCGATCCGAACTGGTTTTTTTCCGATTTTTACCCCCAAAAACACCCCAAAAGATCTTGAAATGAACACATAATAAACTACGCTGGTCATTACCCCTTTGTGGTATAAAACAATATTCTTGGATTTTATGTGAAAGAAGAAAACGCGACACCCAATTTCAACTCTATTCATTTAGTAATATAGATATATAAATACCTTAAACATGTATAATATATTCATTAGGTCTCCAATAAATATCAACCATAAAACTAATAAGTAATTAGTAAATACGTGTAAAAGTCATATTTTTCTTTCAGGCTATAGAAATTCTCTGTCCAACGATGAAATCAGCTTGCCAGATATTGCAAAATGCTGACCTAGATAACTCTTTTCATGACATCTATGTTGAGTTTGCAAAAAAAGGAAAGCAAATGGAGGAACTAACTGGTCATGTTGAAACGCTATATTTGGAAATACTGAATGTACAATGTAAGTTTTCCAAGAGAATCATTCACATGAATTGAAAACAAATGTAATATTTATATTTCATTCAGATCTATCGTGAAATATACATAGAGATTAATACATGGCCCTTTCCATATCGGACCGTGTATCTGATATGGGTTGAGGAATTGTACCCAGGCCGATATGGAAAAGGACATGTATTACTCTTTTTACATATACGGACAAATTGTTTTTATATGAGGCAAATAACATGTATTATTAAATGATAAGAACACATCACCCATAATACGGATAAATCAGCATGTGCAATACTGAAGACGTTTCCCTGTTGATATAAATCAGGAGTTAATATTGCTTTTCGGACAGGGCCAATACGGAAAAAGCCGTATTGACCCATGGGCTAATACAGGACGTTCACCTCCGGTTTCAATTTTCTTACGCCTAAGCTTACTTAACTTTGGACGTATCGTTATGCATAAAACACATTTGTATCATATGTTTTTACTTAATATCATAAAAAAAGAGTTCAGTGTTTTGTAACGTCTTGAAGCGGAAATATGTCACAGCCTTTTCAAGTACGACTTTCGATTATTTTCACTGTTTCATTTCCGTTGATCAATCATCAGAACGCAGACGATTCAATAGTAAGTTAGAATATTTAAACTGTCTGATTTATTCTTCCCAGCTTCTTTATATTTGCTAGATAAAATGAATTGTTATAGCATAAGATTAAGTACTTGGACGAGAAATCAGAAATTACATCTGACAATGTTGACAAAAAATCCATCATGAATGCGAAAAGACAAGTTCGGATATGAATTTTTGTATCTTCTTCACGGTAAGTTTCTTAGTTTAATCGAAGAATTAAAATCATTTAATAAAAGTGTTATGAACTGGCTGTTTCTGTATTGGCCCTGTTATAGATTCTCGATCATCTATATTGGCCCTCGACTCTTCGATGCTCGGGTCAAATACAGCTAACCCCGAATCTATAACAGGGCCAATACAAAAACAGCCAGTTAATAACACTATATTATTCTTTTTTTTTCCAATAAAATAAAAATATATTTTGAGCCAATGTATGGTTATTCTTTATATACTGCAATTCTTACAACTGCTCTAAATAAAATATTTGCGGTAAAAACCATCATTTTTTAATTTGAAGCGGACGACGTAAAAATTCCGCAAATCTGTATTTTGTACTGACGCCAAACGACACATGCGATATACGGTCTGTGGCTATATATCACATATGATATTTTATTAAGTTGTCGTGTATGTTTACACAGTTTTGGCTGCTTGATCCAAATAATTGTCACATTAACCCATTATGTCTGTTTGGGTAACTCAACCAATATTGTCAATATAACGGAAATATAAACAACTGTCACAGAAGTAAGAGGATAAGCTAGCTACAAAACCAGGTTTAACCCACCATTTTCTTCGGAAAAATGCCTGTTACAAGTCAAGGATATGACAGTTGTTTGGCACTCTTTCCTTTGGATGATAACATTTGATTTCGTCTATTTTTATGAACTTTTTTTAATATGTCTTGGAGTTCGGTATTTTTGTTATACTTTTGTATGCATGTGTTACTAAGCAATATCTAGTGTTGTTAAACATTGTTACATTGGTAATTGAAACCGTTGACAATATATATATTTCTTGAAGTTTTAAAATATCGCAAAACTCACCGAAATCGATCATTAATCATTGAAAATGACTTCAACAATTATAGTTTTGTTACGTGTTCAACTAGTATTTTGCATTTTAAAAGTAACCTACTCATTAAAATCAGCCATCTATTCCTAAATTCATTATTTTATACTATGTGATTTTATCTGAATATTGCAGCTATTCAAACCGAGGAAATCTCTGAATGGAAAAAACAAATAGAGAAGTTTTATGTGACTGAATCTGCGACCAGATTAATTAAAGTGGTTAAAGACAACCAATGCACTATTATTACAGGTATACCTGGATCTGGTAAATCTGCACTTGCTTATCATGCAGCCATACACATGCAAGAAACCGAAGGCTACACAGTTCTACCTGTTCGGTTACCATCAGAATTGATGAAAATGACAAATTCTAATGCTAAACAACTTTTTGTTTTTGATGATGTTTTTGGTAAATATTCTTTAGATGAATTCAACCTCAACTGCTGGGAAATAGAGACAGGGCGAATTAAGAAGTTATTAAGAAAACAAAGTAATGGTGACCTGTAGATCCTATTTATATGATTTGGTAAGCGATTGCTTATCTTCTCTATCATTTGAACATTTTAACTTGCAGTCAGATGAAATAAATTTGTCTTTAGTGGAAAGAAAAGAACTCAGCAAGTTGTATCTTTCTAATGATGTTGTGTATCACCTAAAAGATGAAACTGTTATGATGTGCAACTTCTTTCCTTTACTCTGTGTTATGTTTAAAGAAAATAAGATGGAGAATGTTGATTTCTTTAAAAACCCAAATCAGTTTATCCAAAACGAAATTGAAAACTTTAGAAGTAAAAACGACTTATATTTCATAGCACTAGCCCTCTTGGTTTTATGTAATAATTCGATTGAGAAAGAAGGTCTCCTGATTGGAAAAGATAAATACGATATCATGTTACAAGATTTAACTGATGAAACGAATATCAGGAAATATCCGTCTAAAACTTTGATTTTGTCAAATCTAAAAAATCTAAAAACATGTATCTAAACGAAACGGAGTCAACATTCTGTACAAAACACTATAAAATTTTTGACATAATTTCACATACTGTAGCAAAGTTTATAATCCGATGTATCTTAAAACATGGAGACACTGTGTTCATTAGTAGTAGGTGCCAATTTAAATCACTCGATGAAAACCATGGCGAGTTTACCATTATGATTACAGATGAGTTACAAATGACGTATTTCGAACGTATATTAAAAGACATTGAAAACGGACATAACTGGGAAGTTTTTGCTAGCATCCAAATGAAATTTGAAAAATACAGAAATTTGTTAATGCCATATTTAGAAAAATTTAATGCAAAATTCTCTTCTTCAAGAATTGATTACACAACTGCACTACATGTCACCGCAGCAAAAGGTTATTTTGAAATCTCAAAAAATTTACTCGAAAAAAATAGAAAACAGATATATTACCTTGATAGTAAAAATATGTCTCCTTTGCATAGCGCCTCCTTGAATGATCATTGTGAACTTACACATTTATTTCTTAAATATGGTGCTAGGATTAATCAGAAGAACAGCGAAGGATACACCCCTATGCTCTTAAGTTGTAATTACGGACATGTAAAAGTTATTGAAATATTGTTACAAAAACACGGAAATGTAAATAAATGTGATAATTATGGTTGGTCTCCACTGCACATGGCAGCGTCTGATGGCAATACTGACCTTATCAAACTTTTAGTTAAGTATAAGGCAAAGGTGAACAAACAGATGAATAACGGAATGACACCATTGTACCTAGCTTGTAATTTTGGTCATTTATTGGCAGTAGAAATGTTACTAGAGAGCAAGGCCGATGTTAAAAAATGTGAAACTGAAGGATGGTCTCCGATAAATATAGCTTGCCTGAAAGGGTTTTACGACATAGTTGAAGTATTAATTTGTTATGGCGCAGACGTAAATAAAGATACCAATACTGGACAAACACCACTGTATATCGTTTGTAGAGAAAATCATATAAATATATTAAAATTATTACTTACGCATGGTTCAGAAATTAATAAAGGTGATGAGAATGAAATAACGCCATTGCATATGGCTTGTAAAAAAGGTAAATTAGACATAGTCAAATTATTAAGCGAATTCGGCGCTTTAACAAATAAATGCAGTAAAAGTGGCGAAACTCCACTACATTGTTTGTGTTATTGTGATGATAAAAAACAGTCGAACAATCAATCATCAATGGGGTATCAATTAATGAATTTGATGAAAGTGGAGATATGCAATTCATTCTGGCTAAAGATAGCACTAAAGATATCATTAAACATCTAATCAAACATGGTGCCGATGTAAACTCTGCTATAAAGAATGGAAAGACCCCTCTTTACTTGGCTTGTGAACGTGACAATTTAGAAGCAGTGAAATGGCTGCTTCATCACGAAGCGGACGCAAATATGTGTGAAGACAATCGATGGACTCCATTACATATTGCTTCTGCAAACGGTAATGCAGATATAGTAAATATATTGTTAAGACATGGTGTTTCCTTTGATCATTGCAATATAAATGGTTTTACCCCGCTTCTTTTAGCCTGTTCCTATGGGAATAAAAATATAGCAGAAATCTTAATCAAAGAGGGAGCATTAGTAAATAAAGTTGACGGGACTGGAAACCCCGCATTACATTTAGCTTGTAACCTCAGGCATAATGAAATAGCTTGAGAATGGTGCAGAAGTAAACGGTCATGATAAAAACGGTCGAACTTCATTACACTCTGCCGCTGAAGATGGAAACACAGAACTTATTTTAATTTTGATGGAACATGAGGCAGATGTAAACTTCCAAATGAATAATGGGATGACATCTATTTATATTGCTTGTCAGAAAAACCATTTAGCAGTAGTGAATATGCTGCTCACTTATAAAGCTGACATAAACAAATGTGAGGAAAATGGATGGAGTCCATTACTTGTAGCATCTAATTTCAACCATAATGAAACAGTTGAATATCTATGTGATCACAGTGCTGCTGTGGTGAACATCTCTAATAACGAGGGTGAAACGCCATTACATATTGCTTGTGAAAATGATAATGCAGATTTAGTAAAGTTATTATTAAAACATGGTGCTTCCATTAATAATGGGGATGAAAATGGTTTCACTTCGTTCCATAAAGCTTGTTCCGAATGTAGTAGCAACATAGTAGAACTGTTCATCAAGGAGAATGCAGCAGTAAACCTCCCTGATAGGAGAGATAGAACGCCTTTATATATAGCCTGTCAAAGCAGATGTAAAAATGTAGTAGAATTATTACTGAAACATGGAGGAGAGGTAAACAAAGCAGCTCAAGTTGATTCCAAAGAAGGATGGACACCTCTACATGTTTCATCCGCCTCCGGTAGTACGGATATTGCTGAATTATTATTGCAAAATAATGCAATTGTTTATGGGGAAGATCAAAATAGACATACTCCTTTACACTACGCTACACTAAATAATCATGCTGACACAATTGAGCTTCTTGTTCGTCATGGAGCTGTTATAAACAACAATGATGTTCAAGTTTCCTCTACCAGCACAGGACCAAGAAGACGAAAATATTGTGTAATTCAATGAGAAATTTGACATAAAAAAAACCAATTGCAAGGAATGTAGGTACATTTTTATCTTTCACAGATGTAATACGTGTCAACTCGGTACTATTTTATCACTAAAGGATAATTCGTTCAAATTGTATCACTATGATTTCTTCACAAGTTCTAAATAATGGAATGAATATTATTGTAGTTTAACTTTAAGCAAACAGTTTTAAAAACAAATTTTGTGACTCCCGTCTTCTATTATATTTCATAATTGCAGCTGATACAATGTTAATAATATAGAGGATTTTTTTCAGAACTTGAAGAAAGCCGTAAACCAATATTGCTTTGTCGTTAATTCTTGCATTAACATCACATATTGAATCTTTTGTGTCGAAACTTCATTTTCGAGTATTGATTGCTTTTAAAAGATCAGACCATTTGCAGTGATCTAACTCGACAAAAAGTCAACATCAAGCAATAAGCCAATAACTGCCATCATCAAAACCAACACAACGCATTATAAAGTAAAACAACAAAAATACCGAACTCCAAGGAAAATTCAAAACGGAAAGTCCCTTAACAAATGGCTAAAACAAAAGCTAAAACACATCAAACGAATGGAAAACAACTGTCCTGACTTGTTACAGGCATTTCCTTATGTAGAAAATGGTGGATTTAACCTGGTTTTATAACTAGCTCTTTTTGACCTTTTCAATAAAGACAATTACAGTTTGTGTTTTTTAAGGCTAGCTTAAAATAAAGACTGTGATTCAGTTGAGGTCGATTATCAGACTCAATTCATATTTTCATAGAATAAACACAATTTGCTGTGTGCAAACAACTCGTTTCCAGAGTATTTTGTTCCAAATAAAATGGAAAGTTCAGTTAAAGCAAAAAGGCTATTTCAGGTCGATGTGACCTTCCTTTTGAACGTTAGTTGCATAACAACCTTGGTGCAAAAGTCTTTCTTGGCTACTTTCTACACACACACAAAAATAAGAGAAACATGTTATTTAGGTATCAAATAATAATTGATTATATAGATCTACTGATAAATTCTCTATTGTGTCTCATTTAAAGTCCGAATTTTGCATTCAGAATCACATCATAATTCATTGTATTAACGATAATTTATCAGAAAGGATAGATCAAATATAAATACTAGTATTGCTTATTATTATATAAACAAACATTGCTTGACAATGACTAATTCCACGATATGCTTCCTTAATATTGATAACCCTGTAAATATTTTTGCTATAACTTATTATCTGACAGAAATCAAGTTGTATCTGATATAAATAAAAATAACATTAAATAAATTGTTTGCGTCCGAGGCACTTTTCTGGAATTATCTTCACAGGGAAAGCTATAGCAATCATTTCATAATTGTTTATGTAACACATAATTAGGTTCCATTGATATAACTTATTCAGCCAAAAAGGTGTCAACATCATACCTGGTTCCATTGAGCACTTACAGAATCTGAACGCGGTGATCAGGGATCCAGTCCAGTACACTCAGACACACTCCTCCTCGCAAGAAAAGAATTACAATTATCATAAATTATACTGTATCTGAATCTGCAACATTTCAATATAAATGTATGAAGAACAATTCATTTCTAACTAAAGAAAGGGAAAAGAGTTAAAACGCAGGCCATCCTCTTCTTTTTAACACTTTCAAACTAAATGCAGCCTATGCTAATAGTAAGGTCTCACCTGTGAGTTTTTAAAATGTTCTGAATGTATTACCAGGAAGTGCGACATGAATCAAAATTACGACAGTGGTATTTTGTAGAAACTACACAACTCCTATGTAAACGTACTCCTATTTAAACGTAGAAGCAAACATGGAAAAAGCGTTCAATAACCATAATGGCTTTCCATTACATAAGAGAAAGTTCTAAATACGACTTTAAATACAGTAATGATCCAAAAATGAAAACAAAATAGTAACTAGACAAAGTGATGCCCCCGCACTCCACTCTGAAGTAAATGTATATAACAAAGTCAATGTAGGACTTTCTTTGAGATATTGTTGTGTCTGGGAGACACAAATGATGCCTCCGCAGATGCAAAGTGTTATTTTAAAAATACACAAAGGTGAGAGTGGGAGCACATAGGTCTATAGTTCACTGTAGGAGGAGCTATCCGGAAACGCTATGCACCTCTTATGCAATATATACACCAAAAAATGACAAAGTTCAACTATCTCCCAAAAGAGCAAATATTAATAAAAATCAGAATCCTGACCACATGCACACCTTCAATATATCAATATATGTACAAACAGCACAAAGTGAAAACTTCCTAGCATTCAAACTGGAAGAGGAGTTATACAGAAACATTATGCACCTCTTATGCAAGTATATACTCTTAAAATGACAAAGTTCTACTATCTCCCAAAACAGCAAATATCAATAAAAATCAAAACCCTGACCACATACACATCTTCAAGATATGTACAAACAGCCACCAAAGTGAAAACTTCCTAGCATTCAAACTGTAGGAGGAGTTATCTGGAATAACTATATACCCATAATGGGACGGGTCGACAGACGGAAGGACGGACAAACGGACAGACAGACGGACAGGGGTAAAACAATATGCCCCCTAACTTTCAGTTGCTGGGCATAAAAAATCAACTTTATATTCTTGATTTATTTGACGATCAACAGAAAAGCCAAGCAAATACAGATCAAGCTCAGTCTGTCTTTTACTAGGACAATCAAACAATCAACTAAAAGGTGATGTCCGTATGGTATTGACCGAATACAAAAATAAACAGACAACTTGATTTGAAGTCTTATTGAGAATATTCTTTTGAGTAATTAAAACAAAATGAAGCCGATGTTAACCATGATATCTCTGTGAGATGATGAATTGCTGTCCTCCGTATGTTAAGGCTAACTAAAATAGCTGTCCAAAAAAATTGTTAGTTAAGGGTAAAATTCACTAAAAATGGCTGATTATGTGGAAGTATTGTGTACAAAAATGACAGAGAATTGAATTAAGGAATTGATTGAAGGTTTACAAAGTGTAAATGCAGAGTATAAAAGTATACTCAAAATCAAAACGAAGAAAAAATGACGTCCTACAGTGAAATATTGTCCGGATATAATAATAACACAGAACAAAACAATAACAGTCACTACAAATGAAAACCATCCCAACTCAAGTTCAAGTAATTATGTAATATCTATATTCCTAAAAGATACTGATGTTCCTGGTTCTATGAAACCAGAGAGATCTTTGTGGGTCACCAACGTAGAAATTTATAAAGCAGTCGGAGAAAAGATCTTATCTTTATATGTATGTCCTGTCCCAACGAATGGCATATTGTTGAAGGCCATATGGTTGCCTATAATTGCTTACATCCACTTCATTTGAACTTTGGTGGATAGTTGTCTCATTGGCAATCATACCACATCTCCTTATTTTTATTATTATATAATCATTATTTAAACCAGGTACCATGTTAGTAAAATGTTTTAATGAGTATGCATTATAAACAAATGATTTATATAATGAAAATATCACAGTTTACCTCAACAATAAAATTAAAATAATAAAGAAGAGAGACACAAGGTTGTTCTTCTTCTGAAAGAACCATGATAGTAATTGATTCATCAGATTTAAAAATTAAAGCTCTGAATTATTTACTGATATAAGTAATAATTTTCTATTCAACAGAATTTTAAATTCACCGAGAATCTTGTAATCAGATAATAATAGTTATCAGTAAAAATATACAGTTTTTCATTTCCTTCTGTCAAATTCAGCCATGAAAATAACAATTTTTCAAAAAACATAACCTTTTTGTTTCAATTGTCAAAATTCAAAACAATATCTAGATTGAACACAAAAGTAAAAATGATTGTTAATAAACTGTCAAATTTTTCATAACAATGACATCAGATCCTCTTGGATTTTTGCCTCTTGGCTGCCAGGATGGTACATCATCCCCGTAACTTGGTGCAAAGTAAGTATGGCGGCTTATCTGATGACTTAGTTCACATAACTTGGTAGCACCATCTACAACATATGCCTGGACATCTGTGTTCTCCTTGCTCAGTCTACCATTGTCTATCAAATTAGCAAAAGCCTAGAAATAAAAAAATAAATAAGAACAAAATATTACTCAATGAAAAAGGTTTCCACTGCAGAAAAAAGTAAGTAACCATATTAGTACACAAAATGAGAAAACATTACTAGTTTTAAAGCCCTTTCCAAACGATTTTTATAGTTAGTTCTTATGTGGTGTTATTTCACCATTCTCATGTATGCAAGGGGAGGAATTGGTCTACCAAAACATGATAATCCTACAGTACAGGTAGAGACTTATTATTATGGATGTCTAGATGTCAGACTGGTCAGACAGTTGTCTCAGTGTAATTAACACCTGCTGTGATATTAACCTGTACAATATCCGAGTGGAAGGTCGTAAATCAATCTGTACCAGCTTGATTAGAATTAAATTTTACCTGTACAGATATTTTAGTATTTATGGAGGATAGATAATAAATGTAAAATATTGTTTTGTATTCAAAGAAAAAATTACAATAAAAATAAAAATTTAATATCATGAATATGGGATCAACTTTTTTTTAACTTGAAAATGAAAGAAAGACGATTTTTAACAATGTACTGTAAAAATGTGTTGCCAATTATAATAATTGTGTTTGTGCCAATAAACTATTTGTATTTGTATTTGTAAACCGTAAATATTTCATTTTATTCAAAATTATAACAACCAGGACTGTTTTCAATCGAAGTTTTAATCAAAATGTTGAGACATCAATCCCGTAAATCATACGAGTTTTCGTTGATGGTTACAATATTTCCCCCTTTTAACATCCTGTTCCTTTATGTTAATAATAGAAACACAAATTTAAGTTTAAGGCCAACATATCGTATTTATAAAGTATATAAACAAATTGAATATAGGCATTGTGAATAAACTGTTATTTTCCTTTCGTTCCCCGTCGGAGCCTCTACGTCTATTCATACCTGTCAATCATTTCTCGCAAGTAAAACAATTTGGTCAGTCAGATCATCCGTGCTTTCTATTTTGACATATATTTCCCGTTAATCTCTTTGAAACAATTGTTTTTTTTTACAATATTTATAACACCGTGATCATCTTTCGATTCCTAGTTTTATATAAAAAAAACTTTTCATATGCACGTCAATATTCTATGACCCAGCATTATTTTAAATTTTGTTTGTTAATAAATTTACATATAATGGAAATAACAGATTTGTTGACACTCGTTGTATTATAACAAAGATATTGCCTTTCTATTTCCATGTTTGAAATTTTAATGAAGATCGTGTTTTTTATAAACATATTTTACGAATTGTGTCAATCAATACACAAAGATCAAAGTTTTACACTATTCATGATCAGCCGTCTTTACTTTTGCGTCGAATTTCTAGCCATTCTAAAGCTCGTGCAGTCAGTAAGATTTTGTAAATCGATGTCGGCAGTTTAAATTGTATAATTCCCGAACTTTAAAGGAGGTGTCCGAATAAATTATTTAAATAGGAATCTGGGTGTTGACTGATAAATATAATAAATAAAATAGTTAAAGAAGACTAAAGCTTGTTTTGTTTATATGTACAAGGATTAAATTTTCTATTCTGGTAAATCAATTATTAATGGATCTCGATCAAGAGCCTCAAAACTAACGCACAATACTGCCAATCATTACGTATCAAATTCAATCATGAATGGATTTTCCCACGGTCGGTCAGTAAGGTCACCTGTGTTAACTGTTACGATATTTCCCGCCATATGAAAATCACGTGCATTTGACAAAATTAATCCCAGCTATTTTTAGCATTCAACATTTTATTGTGAGTGAAGTCAAGTTCAAAGTTCAACCACATTGCTGTTGATCACTCATATGTGTATCATGGAATTGTCTTTTCACGGCAAATATTTTTTTTTAGATTGGTGTCAAAAATACAACATACAAGTTAACATGCATTGCGCGTAAATTAATATTATGCAATTAAGAGTCAATGCAGCACCATAAAATTATTTAAATGGGAGTAATTGCATTTCTTTAGACTACAAATCATAGTAAATATTTAATTAACTGGTCATCAAACGATTGAATGCTTCTAGTTTTAATGTCCATTCATGTCAGTGGCAATTATTTCATGCATATTTAACAAACACAGAAATATCAAAATAAACCTAATTCCCAAGAAGAATCGTTATCTTCTTCTAGTGTTATTATTTGCGTACTACTTTAGTTATATATCACCAACTTTCGGACAATATTTGTTTACAGTAAAAAGTAAATTCACAATTATAAAGAATCACCAAACTACTAGTATACAAGTATTGCTCACTGTAATTATTTTTATTTCAGAACTGACCCAATGCAGACTGAAAATTAAATACAAATGTAGTGTTGTCAAACTAAAACGTATACAGCAGCACTTTGCACATCATTCTGCTAATCAATGGGTTTACGTGGAAAATAAATCAGTAAAACAAAAATAACCTTCCAGAAATAAAAAAGAAAATATTTTAAAAACTGTATGCCAACAGATACGAATAAGATACATAACAAAAAAAAACAAGGGAACATAAAAAATAATATTTTGAGGAATATAAACAGCATTTGAAATATAAAAAGCCATAAATAAAAAAAAAGGCTATTTTTATCAAAACAAAGTTGTCTCCAGTACTTCACCTGTAAAAATATTTTATGTCAAATACGATGTAGAACTAATCAATAAAGTGACTGAGAGGTTTAAATCACAGGTAACCTGATTCTGAAATCAGTGAAGCGTGATAATCTAGTAGCATGAATTGAGATGAAAGGACAATTATATTACCGTTTACACCACGATCTGTTGATTAATGACCATACTACCTACCATAAAAAAGTCGAATTATTCATTTCAGACATGTCCCAGTCCGTTATTTATAGTAATAAGTCTCTACCCGTACTGTATCACATTCTGTATGTGCCTTCCGTAGCCCAAAACCTATATCATGAATATTTCAGGGATTGTTGCTTGTTGCTGTCTGGCTAGTTTGTTTTTCATTTGTTGCTGTGGTATAAATCAGGCCAGTCATTTCATCATAAGAATTATTTCACACTTTGTTATACAGGTCCTCTTAAATCTTATAATACATTATGGGTTTGCTCATTGAGTTCAGTTGGTTTTTTGGCATGCTATATTGGCTATCATCTGTAATCAATTGGTGGCTGGACGTTAAGCAAACAACAATCAATCAATCAATTGATTGGTGGCTTATAATATGAGATATAGTATGACAACTTGTTTTTCCCAAAACAATCAACAATTCCATCTCTGTTATTGTTATGTTTTAGTACTTGGCTTTATTAAAATACATCTATTTAAAATTACCTTTATATCACATTTGCAAGGTTACTTTCTAGTGAATATTAAATTAAATAAAAAGCTTTGTATTGGTCTGATTAAGCCCCTTTTAACTAATTTTTACAGTTTGTTCTTATGTTGTACTGTTACACTACTGTTCAAGGTTAGGAGGAAGATTTGGTGCCAACAAACTAGTTTAACCCCGACACATTCTATATGTGCATGTCCAAAGTCAGGAGCCTGTATGAAGTTTAGTGGTTGTCGTTGGTTCATGTCTTGTCATATTTGTTTTTCTTAAACTGTTTTGTAATAAATACAAGAGTGCACACGCTGAAATGTCTCGCCTTCTTTACTAACCATTGATATTATGCTGATAGTCCTAAATATAAAGCTTTACTAGAACTATCACATAAACTTAACATGATCCATGAAAATGAGGTCAAGGTCAGATAAACCAAACTGGAAATAAATGTACACCTTACAATCATTCCATACACCAAATATGCTTTAAATATAGTTGACCTATTGCACATCTAAAAAACAAACTTAACCGGGAAAACTTAAATTGATCAATGAACCATGAAAATGAGGCCAAGGTCAGATGAACCCTGCCAGACAGACATGTACACCTTACAATCATTACATGCTTTAAATAAAGTTGACCTTTTGCATAAAGTATTTAAGAAACAAACTAAACCAGGAAAACTTAAAGATTGACCAATGGGCCATGAACATGAGGTCATGGTCAGATGATAATTGCCAGACAGATATATACACTTTACAATCATTCCATACACCAAATATACTTGAGCTATTGCTAATAGTATAAGAAAAACAGACCAAAAAACAAAAACTTAACATTGAGCAATGCACTGTAAAAATGAGGTCAAGGTCAAATAAAACATGCCAGACTGACATGTACATGGTAAAATATTTTGATACATCAAATATAAAATATAATTGACTAAATGCATACAGTATTAGAAAAACAGACCAAAACACAAAAACTTAACTATAACCACTGAACAATGAAAATGAGTTCAAGGTCAGATGACACCTGCAAGTTGGACATGTACACCTTACAATCATTCTATACCCCAAATATTGTATACCTATTACAGTATTAGAACAAGAGTGCACACGCTGAAATGTCTCGCCTGCTTTACTGACCATTGATTTTATGTTGAAAGTTTTAAAGATAAAGGTTTAACTAAAATCATCACAGAAACTCAGGTCAGATAAATGCTGTCAGACAGACATATACACCTTACATTTTTTTTATACACAAAATATAATTGACCTATTGCTTATGATAATTGAAAAACAGACAAAAAAAAAACAAAAAAACTTAACATTGACCAATGAACCATGAAAATGAGGTCAAGGTCAGATGATACCTGGTAGACAGACATGTACACCTTACAATCATTCCATACACCAAATATAGTTAACCTGTTGATAATTATAGTACTTGAAAAACAGACAAAAACACAAAAACTTAACATTGACCAATGAACCATGAAAATGAGGTCAAGGTCAGATGAAACCTGTCAGACTGACATGTATATGTACCTATTACAATCATTCTATACACCACATATAGTTGACCTACTGCTTGTAGTATTTGAGAAAAGGACCTAATCACATAACTTTAACCTTGATCGCTGATTCATGAAATGAGGTCGAGGTCAGGTGAACCCTGTCTGACGGACATGTAGATCTTGCAAGGAACACATATACCAAATATGGTTATCCTATTACTCATAATAAGTGAGAAATTCACATGACAAAAAAACTCAATTTTTTTTCAAGCAGTTGCTGAACCATGAAAATGAGGTCAAGGACATTGGACATATGACAGACGGAAACTTCGTAACATAAGGTACATGTATCTGCATACAAGATATGAAGCAGCCAGGCCTTCTACCTTCTGAAATATAAAGCTTTAAACAAATAGTTTACGCCGCCTCTTGATAGTAATACCTATGTCTCGCATACTGCCACTTTCGTCGCAGGCAAGACAATAACAGACCAAAACACAAAAACATAACTATACCACTGAACCATGAAAATGAGGTCAAGGTTGGCACCTACCAGTTGGACATGTACACCTTACAATCATTCCATACACCAAATATAGTAGACCTATTGCTTATAGTATCTGAGATATGGACTTGACCACGAAAACTTAACCTTGTTCACTGATCCATGAAATGAGGTCGAGGTCAAGTGAAAACTGTTGTACGGGCATGATGACCTTGCAAGGTACGCACATACCAAATATAGTTATCCTATTACTCATAATAAGAGAGAAATTAATATTTTAAAAAATCTTAACTTTTTTTTCAAGTAGTCACTGAACCATGAAAATGAGGTCAAGGACAATGGACATATGACAGACGGAAACTTCATAACATAAGGCATCTATATACAAAGTATGAAGCATCCAGGTCTTCTACCCTCTGAAATATTAAGCTTTCAAGAAGTTAGTTAACGCCGCCGACGGATCACTATCCCCATGTCAAGCTTTCTGCGACAGAAGTCACAGGCTCGACAAAAATGAGGCTGTTAGTTTTCTCAATTGAATTGTTTCATATTTTTCATGTTGGGGTCTATATATCTGACTATACCGTATAGATTTTATCTAGTTTTTGAAGGCAGCACGGTTGCCTACTATTACTCAAATCCACTTCATTTGAACTGTGGTGGATAGTTGTCTCATTGGCAATCATACCATATCTCCTTATTTTTATATGAATTAGATATTCATGGTTTAAGGAAAATTAATCTAATTGTTCCAAGATAGACATATTTATACTTGTATGCATATTTATCTGCCATTATTTCGAGCAAACAAGTTCCTGTGGATAGACAGATTTACATTTGTATACAAATTTGTCTGCCATTACTTTAAGTCAACAAGCTCCCCTAAAATTATGCATCACAATTTATAACATTTGACATCATAATTTATAAAAGATTGTTGCATGACTACAGAAGATTATTCAAAGACAGATCTAGGGGGAGAAATTCAGCTTAATACTGAAAAGTGTAAATATGTCTATAGCTATATATTACATCAAACATTGTAGCTATGAAAAGTAGTTGCTTATATTATGTACACTTTTCATCTTCTTGCCCTTAACATTTTTTTCCTAGTCAAGTTCTGTGGACATCAGTAAAAATGGACGGACTTATGTCATCATTGAAATTAATGGCCATCATTGTATTATCTTACGATTGCTGCTGGTTCCTCTAGCTTATTTCCCCAGATGTAGATATTAGTTAAAGTTGTGTTGGTTTTCATTGCATCAGCCAAGGAACACAGTCCTTTACTTCCAATATTGTTACTGGTTACAACTAAACTGTAAATATTAATAAAAAAATATCAACTTTAGTTTAATACAGTGTGAGTCCTGTTTGTATTTTTTACTTTTCTTTAAGTGTCATATCAAGTATTTTACATTGTTAAATATTCTTAGTTTCTCTTCCTAAATGTGATGTTACCTTTCTTTTTGGGTTCCTATCTCGAGTCATAAATCTCTGTAAGGTTTTTCATTACCATTAATTGGTGTTTTGTCTATCTAAAGAAATTTGTATTGGTTTTTATATCTTCTGACGTTCCTGACAAACTAGCTCTGAGCCAATAGATTTTTGTGCTCATCTATTGTTGATGATAGTATGGGAAGATGATCTTCAGGTTCAAACTTATCTTTTTTTTTATACTTTTGTAAAATCAACTTACGTTTTTAGGTTTGTGTTCAGTGAAGCCAGCGCATTGGCTATATGTATGGCTCCATCATCCTCCAATCTGTTATACCCCAAGTCCAAGACTTCAATAGCAGTATTCTTCTCCAATACTTTTGACAACTCATTTATTCCATCTCTAGTTATTCTATTGCTGTAATGAAATCATTATAATAGTATGTTAGTGTAGTGGAGATGAGATGCAAGTTTGGGCAATTATTAATGTAATACTTTATCAAAATATTTGTACATTTTTTCTTTTATCTTACCGCCTAATATTTTTTAGATCATGGACAGGATACTTCAAAATATTTAAGGAATGACTGTAATATTTTTTCTGTCTATGAAGAAATAACATCAAAAATGTGGTGCACACTGAATAACCCGCGTAGCGGTTTATTTTAAAGTGTGCACCACATTTTTTATGTTATTTCGAACAGACAGAAAAAATATTACAATCATTTCTTATAATTTAATTCTAAATTCCATTTTAAACCGGAGTAAACCATGAAAAAACGTTGATGACGTCACAGTCACATGACAAAATTATGTCTATGAGCTGATAAACAAAACAACGTCAGCCAATCAGAAGACGCGTTACATCCAAATTTTAAAAATTAAAATATTAGGCAATGACATCATGTATTAGTACAGCAACGTTGCACGTTTATGTTCATCCGAATCAATTTATCAATGAAATGCACATGACTTCAATCACACAACCCAACAACTATCACAACGTTGCCTACCCATAAAAGTAGCTTACAGCTTACTAATTATTTTATTTTATTTGATATTTTCAACCCCCAATATCGTAATTACAAATTGCCGATAAAAAGAAACTAGAGGCTCTCAAGAGCCTGTGTCGCTCACCTGTTTTACTGATGCTTTGGAAATCATGTAAAATAAGGTTAAAATCATAATTAATAGTATTAGATATTAGATATTATAATGATATCTAAGATAATAACAAAAAACTGCAAAATTTTTGTAAAATTACTAACTCAGGGGCAGCAACTCAACAACGGGTTGTCGGATTCGTCTGAAAATTTCAGGGCAGATAAATCTAAATCTGATGAACATTTTTGCCACCTGTCAAATTTGCTCTAAATGCTTCGAATTCAGTTTCAGAGATATAAACCAAAAACTGCATTTTACCCCTATGTTCTATTTTTAACCAAGTTGGCCATGATGGTTGGAAGGCGGGGTCATTGGACAAATTTTTTAAACTAGATACCCTAATAATGATTATGGCCAAGTATGGTTAAATTTGTCTCAGTAGTTTCAGAGAAGAAGATTTTTGTAAAAGATAACAAAAATTTACGAAAAATTGTTAAAAATTGACTATTAAGGGCAATAACTCCTAAAGGGATCGACTGACAATTTTGGTCATGACAACTTATTTGTAGATCTGACTTTGCTGAACATTATTTCTGTTTACAGTTTATCTCTATCTATAATAATATTCAAGATAATAACCAAAAACTGCAAAATTTCCTTAAAATTACCAATTCAGGGGCAGCAACCAAACAACAGGTTGTCAGATTTGTCTGAAAATTTCAGGGCAGATAGATCAGGACCTGATAATCAGTTTTACCCTGTGTCAGATTTACTCTAAATGCTTTGGTTTCAGAGATATAAGCCAAAATCTACATTTTACCCGTATGTTCTATTAATAGCCATGGCGGCCAGCTTGGTTGGTTGGCGGGGTCATCGGACACATTTTTTAAACTAGATACCCTTATGATGATTGTGGCCAAGTTTGGTTAAATTTGGCCCAGTGGTTTCAGAGGAGAAGATTTTTGTAAAAAGCTAACGACGACCACGACGGACAACGGACGCCAAGTGATGAGAAAAGCTCACTTGGCCCTATGGGCCAGGTGAGCTAAAAAGGCATTTTTATTTTTTTTATTAATGACTCCATCAGCTCGAATATCTGTTTGCACTGTCAGGCTTGCTTGATATTCTTGCTGATTAAGTTAGTATCAAAAACAAAAATGCTACTATTCTTTATACATTATATTTGTCTTCAATTATAATTATTGATCATGTGGCCTTCTACTGAGCTGAATTTCTAGACACCTCTCTATCACTTTATTATACAGTCAGAGCTCAGACATAAACAAATCTAATTTTGAAAGTCTGAATGTGTATGTTTCATGGGTTGTTGCCCCTTAAGATATAACAAAATATGACTGCAATAAGTCAATTAGTGTTCAGCAAAAAATTAGACCTCAATCAAAATGTTGTGAATATTGACTTCTTCAAGTCGATAAGTTACCCAAATTTCCTAACTTCATTAACCCATGCACAAATATGAAAAGGTTAAGTATCAGCATGAAATTCATAACTAATATTAATGAAAAAGAAAAAAATTTTAGATATATGAGGAATAAAATGTTTATTCAGAAAATTATTTAAGAAATAGCTCAGGTTCACATTTACTCTGAGAAAAGTGTTTATTGTCAAAGATGATGTTCTTTTACCACAAATCTCAAATAATGTGCTTTCATTCTCTTTTATTTATTAAACATAAATTGACCTAAATAAGACTGTCCATTTTTTGACTTTGTTAGTTAGGTCCATAATTGTAAACCCATGTTTATCATCATTCACAATTTGAATTCTGTAAGTGAAAAAAAACCAAATTATTCAACAAGAAAAAAAAAAGAAAAATATAATTCAAAAATAAAAAAACTTTTTTTTGCCAGAGGTCTGACTATTATATCATAGTTAACCTTTAATTTTACCACTGGAATACTTTTAAGCATACATACCAACTAAGATCCAAATAGGTTAATGTATTGTTATGCATTAAATTCTCTGCAAGTCTTGTCATTCCAAAGTCTCTCATATCATACTTTTGAAAATGAACTTCTTTTAATGTTGTATTAACCTACAAAATTTAAAAAAAGGTTTAGTTTGTATTTTTAATTATGCATCACAGATATGTGTGTATAAATGCGTTATTCAACTGACTCAGACAGTACTGGCATGTGCAGATTATAAGATGGCATTTTTCATATCAGACCGTTTATCCGCCCAAAGGTCATGATATCAGCCTAACAGCCGAAAGGCTTGAGGGATGATATCATGAACAAGGGCCGATGAAGGGCCTGATATGAAAAATGACATGTAATGATCTTTCTTTCGTTTACTTCAGCAGAAGAAATACAGACAAGAACTGTTTTAAAACTCTGAAAAAAATGAAAGATCATATCATAGGGAACAAGTTTCAAGTTGTTTGGACTTCAACTTCATCAAAAACTACCTTGACCAAAAACTTTAACTTGAAGCGTGACAGACAGATGAACGAACGAGCGAACAGACGCACAGACTGAAAAACATAATGTCCCTAGCTATAGGTGGTGCATAAAAATAAACTTGTTCAGAAAACAACTTTGGACTAAAGTCTAGTGGTCATTATAACAAGTTGAATTTGGATTAATTAATTAATTTGGCTGATTAATGAAGGAATTTGTGAACATAGACCTCCATGGAAACAAAAGGGAAATAACTATAACTCAAAATTTGTCAATCAACAACTATATATACATGAGTATACCTAAATAATTAAAAACTATGAGAAGGTTGCAAACTATTCTTTTATAATTTAATTTTGAATGTAACGCGTCTTCCCATTGGCTGTCGTTGTTTTGTTTATCAGCTCATGATAGACATAATCTTGTCATGTGACCTTGACGTCATCAACGTTTTTTCATGATTTACTCCGGTTAAAAATGGAATTAAGAATTAATTTATAAGAAATGACTGTATATTTTTTTCTGTCTATTCGAAATAACATAAAAAATGTGGCGCACACTTTAAAATAACCCGCTACACTGGTTATTCAGTGTGCATCACATTTTTGATGTTATTTCTTCATACACAGAAAAAATATTACAGTCATTCATTAAATAACTTTATAGGTTTCTGTACCTATTAATTTCATAAAACAAAATGTTAATTAAACAAACTCTTATATCTTGGCTGCTTTAAATACTAATTGACCCCTAACTAATACTGCCAGTTTCAAATAGATTATATATATTGGTTGATTTCAGCACTGTTGGCTATTTTGAGTCAACAAGATTTTATTGGTGGAGGAAGCCGGAGTGCACAGCGAGAACCATCGACCTTCATTTAAATTGATTTAATAGGAAAGGTAACAATCCTAGTCAACTAAGATTGGACTCAAACTCACAACCTCAGGAACAAGATTAATTATATAATTAGACTTCATAAATCTGCAAGGAGTGCTGGTACCTAATGTTTTTTTGTCTCTTTGGCAGCAGTTTCTAACCAGCTGCAGTTGCAAGCAAATTTTGACCTTGTTACTCAAATTATGTGCCCTTGTTTGAGTTAGTGGTCATCTGGTTAGGCGCTAAAATGGTCCCCCATTTAAGATTCTTTCTAAAAATCATAGTTATCAGCAGTTTATTTTGACGAGAGGAAACTTTAACAAAATAAGAAGTGATTGTACAAAAAAATCAAGGCATTACATGTATCCCAGCAATAAGAATTAATATGGAATAATCTTACAAATTCTCCACCTAAAAATATGATTCACATTTCAGATTTTTCAATTTATCAAACTTAACCATGATTTCGAAGAGTGGAAATTTCCACACAAATTTGAATAAGATCTTAGAAGAAATGAAGGTAATATCACTGCTACAAGAATTAACATCAAATATTTTTAGTCCCCTCCTGAATTACCAAATACAACATGAAACTATTTGTTAGTCACAACAACTTTTCAAATTAAAATAAAACATTTCACCTTCAGCATTTCAGCAAAATGAACGGTGGTTTCTTCCTGATGTGAGAACAGAATAGGTCTGTTTATGTTCAGTGCCTTCAGAGTTTTGTTGTTATACAGTACTGTGGAAATGGCAATGATGCTCTCAATGGTCTGAAATAAGAAAACAGTTTTGTGTTCCAAGATCTTATAGAAGCTTCTTCGCTACATTTTGGTCTAAAATTAAGTAGCAGATTTATGATGTGCTACTATTTAATATTTGCTGCAAACAATTGGTTGCTTCCAATTTTTATAATAAAAATCTCTCTTATTATTCAAACTCTTGAAAGAAATAATTCAAATTTAAGCAATACTGAGTTTCTCCAATGTACCGTTTGTTCTACTGAAATAGTGTTGTTGTCTCTCAAGTAATATTCATTTGATTGATGGATAATCAATGTTTTTCAGCAAAAACTGTGAAACATTTTCTGAACTTTTGCAAGTAAAAAAAAATATTGCAAATATTGTTTACTTTGATCTTCTCTTTCACAAAAGCAACATCAAAAGTGAGATATTCACAAATATTAATCATCTCAAAGCAGGTTAATTGTTTAAATCCACTTCAATTGGTCTTGTCTCATTTGGCAATCATACCATATCTTTTTATTTTACATGTATATAGAAAGGGCTAAACACACAATTTGTTTTAAAATTTCACAAAAATAAGTTGGTTTGCTGTACTAGTATTACATGTATATTTAAGACAATATCTTATTAAGTTACTCTAACAAATATACCTTACTTTAAACAAGACTTAAACCCTGTCAGATTTTCCTCATGCTACCTCACAGGTTAAAGGAAGATATATTTTCCTACCTTGACACATTAAACAGATTCAGAGCCTAGTCTTTGTTCTGTTTCACAGATTCTGAATGATTTGCAGAGAAGCAACATATTCTAATTCTTAAAAGTCTTTGATATTACCAAGCATGCAATTTAGCTCATGACCAACAGTACTATTGTTACCAAGGTAATAGCAGTATTTTCAGAAAAACTTTACTTTGTTATTGTTAGCAAAATCCTATACCTCGGTTGAGGAAAACAGCATAAATCTTTTGAGCAACCTCAATACACATTGTGTCAGCAACACCACAATTGTTTTAGTTTAAAAAAAAAATGTACTTTACAGAATGTTTAAGCATTCAAAAACATGTTTAACTCTGCCACATTCTGTATGTGCCTGTCTCAAGTCAGGAGCCTGTAATTCAGTAAATGTTGGTGGTTGCTGTCTGTCATAATTTTCTTGTTTTGTCATAAATCAAGCTGTTAGTTTTCTTGTTTGAATTGTTTATCATTTTGTCATGTTTGGGCCTTTATATAGCTAACAATATACATTAGTGGTGTTGCTCACTATTGAAAGCCATACAGCCACCTATAGTGTCTTACATGAACTTCATTTGGACTATAGTGGATAGTTGTCTCATTGGCAATCATACCACATCTTCTTATTTCTATATCAACACATAAGTGTCACCAACACATAGTTCCTCTAGTTTTATGGAGAAAAAAAACCTACTAAGTCAGTGTATGCAATAAATATCACATATAGTATCTCTTATCATGCTTATAGTACATATATTAAGCAAAGCTTACTAAATCTGTGTCTGCTACATCCAGTGCCTCTAATGTCGTATTGACCTGCAGAGCTTGGGCAAACCACATTCCTCCCTTGTTTCCCATTTTATTTCCTGTCATTCTTAGTGATTTCAAGGATTCATTTTTCTGCAATAAAAAGTTTAGGTCAAATTTTATTAATTAGTTTCAGCTAGATAGTCATAGATTATTAAATCACATTTTACAAAATGGTTAATATATTGACCAGAAATATTGAAAATAATCTTTTCATCGGAAAAAAAGATTTTTTACAGAAATTCAAATATCTATCATAAATATGAAAACTTCAGATTTGGAAGAAAGAAACAAACAAAAGCAAAAATTGTACTATGACTTAGAACAGGATATATTTAATATAAAACTTTAGTATTGGGTTATAAAGTACATGATACTATGTATCTGATGATATAAATCTTTTCTTAACCATCTTGATCTATTTAATTCATAAAAGTACTCATATATCAAATTATAAACAAAAAGGTATAGATGCTTATGCAGTTTTCAGAAATGAATTTTTGAACACATACGAAATTAAAAAATTGATTAAAGCTAAAAACAGCAAATTTTTAAATGATATAAAAAGATACATATGATCATGAATAGCTAGATATCTACTATTTTCAGATATACGAACATTTTGTAAAACCTCATCATGTATGCATTCAATAGGTCTGAACACGTGGAAATAAATTAAAACAGCATGCTTACTGAAACTAAAATACAGTAGTTGTATGTAAACTCAAATGCGCATAATTTATCACATGACAGCTCAATCAGGATGTTGAAACTAACTTATGACGCCAAGACTTACCACTTACAATACTTAATTAAAGTTTAAGCTGTTTGCAAGAAAAGTCAATAAGACGCATGAATTCATCAGGACAACTGATTAACGGTTCTTTACAAAAGTTAAGGTCAATGATCATAAAGTTCTAATACTAAGAAACAAAACCGGACAAACTGTACATTTTCCATAATCATGTGACTATATATTTTCCAAAAATGTTTGTATTAACAATGAGTTGTAAAACTAACTAACTACTTATGAATATGAATTCATTGGGTAATTTCCCTTGTTATTCAGTGACTTATTCACATGGATACTTGGCCAACTGCTGTAGGTTGAGTAATTTATCATTACAGCAAAGAAAAGTGCAATAAAGATATTTTTAGATGAAAAAAAAAGTAAGGGTTCCGTGGAACCCAGTGTCTCGCCTACTTTTTCTATTAATTGCAGGCTCAACAAAAATGAGGAAGTAAATCAATAAAAATATTCCTCTTGATACTATCTTTTGATTGTAAGAAGCTTCTGTCCAAGTTTGGTAAAAATCCAGGACAGTTTATGAATCTAATAAATGTTTAAACACTTTAACTGCAGACTGAATGTAATGTTAACTGGAAGAAAACAAAATTTCCTTCTAGATACTAGCATTTGATCATAAACAAGCTTCTGTCCAAGTTTGGTACAAATCCAAAATAGTATAAGAAAGTTATTAAAATTTTAAAAACTTTAACCACAGAGTGAATGTGTTGTTTCCTGGCAGAAAATCTAAGTCCATTTAAAAGTAAAATAAGGAAAAAATGGATTTATTTTTTTACAAAATTTACTTCTGGATACTATCTTATGATCATAAACAAGCTTCTGTCCAAGTTTGGTACAAACCCAGGATAGTTTAAGAAAGTTATTTAAATTTTAAAAACTTTAACCACAGAGTGAATGTAATATTTCCCGGCAGAAAAACTAAGTCCATTTATAAGTAAAATACGGAAAAAATGGAATTTTATTTTTACAAAATTTACTTCTGGATACTATCTTATGATCATAAACAAGCTTCTGTCCAAGTTTGGTAGAAATTCAGGATAGTTTAAGAAAGTTATTAAAATTTCAAAAACTTTAACCACAGAGTGAATATTTGTGGACGCCGCCGCCGACGGAATGTAGGACCGCTATGTCTCGCTTTTTCGACTAAAGTCGAAAGGCTCGACAAAAAAAAGAAAATAAAAGAACAGGATAGCTCATAGAGTTTTCTTCTAAATTTCTCTCTCAATAATTAATATCTATTATTTATTATTAGTCAATGATGATATCAGAACAAACGTGTTTTCAAAGAACAAGAGTAGCTTTTGTTACACAATTTACTAGTTTGGTGTGAGAAAAAGCAGTACAAGTACCATTAAAGGTTTTTGACCATCACTAGTTAGCTTTGATAGTTATTTGTTTTTAGCCATATATTTAGGATACCTTGTCATATATATAAGCAACTACCACGTATATATTTGTTTTCCTTTTCTTATAATTACCAATAATGCCTTAGCTATATGCTCAGCTCCTACTGCTCCGATCTCATTACACATTAAATTCAGGTCTGTTAGCTTTGTTGTTTCCTGAAAACGGATAAAGACAATAAATTATCTCCCTGTTTTTGTCTATCATGAAAATCGAATTATCTCCCCTTCACTAGTACTGTTGATATCAAAATGTTTATTGATCAAACAAATGCATAATTTTCTAAAATATTTATATAGATTTTTTTAATGTCAAGTTTTTAAGTAGTGAACTGTAGACATATATCTGTACCTAAATCAACATGTATATCAAGTTTCTAAAATTTTGTTCATGTCTTGAAAGAAGTATACAATATTTACAAGAAGGATGCCATGTTTGTAAAACATCTGTCCTTCTAATTGTATAATTCAATATTCATGAATCATCTTCAGAACATTTACCATTATTTTTCAAGAAGATAGCATTGTCACACTAAAGTCAGTCTATGAAGAATATACATGTAACTCTCATACATAATTATATTCTGTAAACAAACAAATTTTTGTGGGGACTTTATTTACCAAACTTTCACAATGCAATTAGAAAAATAACGTGTAGATAAATTGTTGATATTATATAAATCTCCAACTGGGCCACTTATCTTTGGTCAATTATATTTGGTATGCATTTGTATTAGCATTTGCACTTCTGATTTTTATGGAGATTCAATGAACAAATAATGTTGGTAACATTCCTCTTAAATACATGTACCTAACATTAAACATGACATCTCTCCCCGTTTTAGCTGAATTTAAAGACAGTAAAACAGTAGAATAAGCCTTGAGTTATAGTAGGGCTTGTTTATCGAGTACTGTCACTTTTATGACGGGAAAAGTATGGCTGTTTAAGGCACAAGGTCAAGTCAAAGTGGTTGATTTTTCTGAATTACATGAATGATGAAATGGCAAACCCACATAGGATGTCCGATTCATGCTTGGCCCAGGTGGACAATGTGCGATAAATTCATATTTGTTCGGTAAATTAAATGTGACCTTTTTGGAAGCCTTGGTTCAATAAGGTCTTGTTCTTATTTTAAGTATCTGTATCTTTTTTTCCTGTAATTTCTTTATTTTATTATTTATTCCTAGTTTTTCAGTGGTACTCTGCAAGTTTTTAATTGTATATTGTATCCGTTCATTGTCACAAAGTATATTCAATAATTGTCCTGATATACTGTAAATTCATTATTATTCATCGGATACCAATTTTGGTGAAATCCATTTGTATAGAAGAACCACTGATTAAAATGTTCAAATTTCGTTAGGTTTGTGTGCATGTAGACTTTGGAAAAAACAACATCAACAACTATATCCATAACACGAATGTTTCCATAGTACACGGATCATCATCGCAGCCCCACTCACACTATCATTTTCTATGTTCAGTGGACCGTGAAATTGGGGCCAAAACTCTAATTTGGCATTAAAATTAGAAAGATCATATCATAGGGAACATGTGTACTAATAAGTTTCAAGTTGATTGGACTTCAGCTTCATCAAAAACTACCTTGACCAAAAACTTGAAGCTGAAGCGGGACAGTAGACGAACAGACGGACAAACGAACGGGCGGACGCACAGACCAAAAAACATAATGCCCCTCTACTTTCGTAGGTGGGGCATAAAAATACTATTTTCCTCAGCCTAGGAAAATTGTTACCCATGAAAATAAATGAATCCACAGAAGCCTCCATGTAGGTTTTAATCCTTAACCATGATTTCTTACCTCAATGAGGTTAGCAATAAACTTTGCTCCTTCATCAGTAATCAAATTGTATCGTAGATCTAGACTAGTCACATAACTGTTATTCTGCAGAGTTTTGTACAATGCCTCACAGTCTGGGTCCTCTATACGTTTGTCTGTCAACAAATTATTGTTTCCCGCCAAATACAAGTGCATCTGGTCTTTGAAATCACTGCAATTTTCATAGTCAATTAACACATTGATTGGTCACTAATCTATGTACAAATTTAGATATAATAAAGTACAAAAATAAATTGAAAAGACATTCTGGAAAACCTTTGATGAAAATAATGTGTTTGAATTTCATGACCTACAAAATTTCCAGAAATATAAATTAATAATTAAGGTGATCAAATTATTTTAAATCATAACATCCCCTAATATTTTTAATTCACAATTATGAAATTTTCATATAAACTCAAATTTGAAAAAATGGACTTTCAAATACATGAAATTGGTAAAGCTATAGCCTTTTCATTGATGAACCTTAAATTCAGATTACTCAAAGAGTATAATAAATTAAAGGTATCAAAATATTAAGATATATCCCTTTTTTAAAACCTTTATTCATTTATTTTGTACTGTTAAACAGCACACATGATATTCGTGATTTTTGCAATATTTTTCAAATATAGCATTTATTTATTATAAAATTCTAAATTTCTGAGCTGAAAACTAAATGTATTACAGAAAAGCATTTATTTGTTAAGGAGTTATACATCATGTCTTCAGTATTAGCTAACATAAACCTTTCACCACACCAACTCAGCCTGCAAACCATCGTTAGAGTTAAATAACATACATGTTAAAAGAGAAATTTCATAGAGGAAATAATTTATATTATAAAGAAACTGATTTTATCTTGTCTTTACATATACTTAAACTGTACATGCACTGTTTTGGCAATATTAACGAGACAACAAGAACAAACTGTTCAGAATGACTATTGCATATCAAAATAAGAAGATGTGGTATGATTGCCAATGAGACGAATATCTACCAGAGAACAATGTAACTGACGTAGATGTTAGCAACTATCCGTCATCATTGTGTTCGTCTCTCACTCAGCGTATTAGCTGTACAAATGTGATGTTTATTAATTGTTAATCATTTCGAATATCAATCTTTTTATAACGTTTTTTGATATCAAAATACGTTTGATTAGTTTAAAAAAATAGAGATGATAGCATTTCCGTGTTAAAAAACAATGCATGTACCTTACAAGTGACAGGGTTTTAGAAATGTCAATCTTGAATTTTTTTAAAATAAATTCCATGTGCTGTGAACAAATTGCATTATGGGAAGTACAAAACCATGTGACTCTCATGTGATCTCACCTGTCAGTACTTATACTTTTTCTACCTGAACCAACTCTCGTACCACTAATAAAATATTTTAAAAAGTCAATAAAAAAATATCAAATACATTAAAAACGAATTGACCAACCAAAGTGACACATGTATATTTTTACTTCCTCAGCAATCATAACAGAATGAGTCATTTTCTTATATCATGACTCTTTACAATTATGAATACATTTGTTGTGTAGATAGTGTTCCCAGGAAAAAAAAAAATGAAAAAAGTAGATAATTTAAAAAAAATTCATGCATCATGCATACATTAAAAATTCTATAAAAGCTCAGCATATTTTAGACCCAAATGAATAGATCTTGTGCATGCAGATTAGTATCTATACATGTAGTTGGTTTTATTGGTAGAGTCTAGAATATCCGGAGCACCTGAGATCACCCCCCCCCCCCCCTTTTTGATGGGGTTCTTGTTGCTCAGTCTTTGGTTTTCTATGATGTGTTTTGTATACTGTTGTTGGTCTGTTTGTCTTTTTCTCTTTTATAGCCATGCCATTGTCAGTTTATTTTCAACTTATGAGTTTGAATGTCCCATTGGTATCCTTTGCCTCTCTTTGAGTTATTCCAAAGAAAATAAATTGCTTCGCCGAGCACAGCTGGATACGACTACATCAAATACTGGACCTTCAGTTGTCTTAGGTTACTTTAAAGTCAAGTTTAACTCATTCTATAATTAAAGAACCTTAGTGAGTGCGCTCACATACCCCACGTCCCCACATTGTCATTGGAGAAATAAAATATGTGTAAGAAAAAAAAATTGTATAAGAAAAAAAAATTGAATCATAATTTCCTGTCAATATGCACATCTACATAGTATGTCCTTATTATCTAAAAAGGTTTCATGAAATTCTGTTGTGTGGTATCAGAGGAGTTGCGATGACAAACTGTTGCAGTAGTACATTGAAGCAAATAAGTTCAAAGGGGCGTAACTCCTAGAAAAAAAATTGAACCGTAATTTCCTGTCGATATGCACATCTACATAGTATGTCCTTATTATCTAAAAAGGTTTCATGAAATTCTGTTGTGTGGTATCAGAGGAGTTGCGATGACAAACTGTTGCAGTAGTACATTGAAGCAAATAAGTTCAAAGGGGCGTAACTCCTAGAAAAAAAATTGAACCATAATTTCCTGTCGATATGCACATCTACATAGTATGTCCTTATTATCTAAAAAGGTTTCATGAAATTCTGTTGTGTGGTATCAGAGGAGTTGCGATGACAAACTGTTGCAGTAGTACATTAAAGTAAATAAGTTCAAAGGGGCGTAACTCCTAAAAAAAAATTGAATCGCAATTTCCTGTCGATATGCACAACAACATAGTATGTCCTTATTATCTAAAAAGGTTTCGTGAAATTCTGTTGTGTGGTTTGAGAGGAGTTGCGATGACAAGAAACAGGATTGACGGACTGACGGACAGACAGACGGGTCAAAAACATTATACCCTCCGCAACTCGTTGCGTGGGGTATAATTATAATACATGTACTTTTCCACACTGAATTTGGGATAATCATAAAATTCATGCTAAACCCAAACTAGATAAACTAGAACAAGACATTCCCGTTGGCCACTCTCCCATATATATATGGCAAAATCCATATAGGCATGTTATGTGTCACTGAGGAAATAATCACACTTTTTTCAGAACACCTATCTTCTAAAATTCAGTCAGGGAATGAAGTTTGTTTAACAATCTAAGATTAAAACTGTAACAAAGAGTTTAGTGCATGCATGTTAGAGCTAAGATGAGTAAAAATAACTCATGCATATAACAAACTCAGATGAGTAATAAAATTGCTGGTGAAATCATACATTTTCCAAATTCTAAATATAATCTGCATATTCAGTTTTAATCAACAGTGTAAGAATATGTTATTACACTGCTTTTAATAATATCATTGAAAATTTTATTATCTTTTTTCCTATCTAAATTAGTATGTTTGTTTGAATGAATCCATGTAAGATTGACCTAGTTTCCAAAATTCTTAATGTTATTTGTAATTGCTTGATGGATGATTTAACAAGTTTTATATTCTGTCAAACAAAAGAAAAGAGAGATGGATCACCTGAACCTTTAACATATATATGAGGGTCTGGATTGGGGTCATAATTTCTATATACTCTATTTTTTAGGCCATTATTGAATCTTTTCTTTATATTTTAGCACCTAATAATTCTCTATTTTTAAATATTTTGCCTACTACTCTCTATTCTGTAAACCCCATCCAGACCATCACATATAGGAGGGTCTGAATTCGGTTTCACAAAAAAACTTAAGACTAAGATTGATCGTAAGTATACTGAATTGTTCATGACTTACGATCAATCTTAGTCGTAAGTTTTTTTGTGAAACCGACTCCTGGATAGGGGTTCCTTCATTTCTGTATTCTTTAATTTTTTAGGCCACTTGTCTCTATTCTTAATACTTTATACCCATATTTATATTTTAGCACCTCATTGTTCCATATTCCTTATATCTTATCCCCTTTATCCTCTATTCTGTAAACCCCATCCAGACCATCATCATATAAATCTTTTTACTCAATAATATATTTTATTGGAAAATATGTGATAAACCAGCATACTCAAGACCTATGTCATTTATCTACATGCACATGCATTTTACTGTTGGTTACATGCTGCTATCTTTAAACTGCTTGTCAAATGACATAGTTCAATACCAAGTTAGAAGAAGACAAATGGTTGTCCTTGATAGGAGTAAAGATAATATAACAGAGTAACACACAAACAATAGAAGATTGGTTACTGTGTTAAAAACTGTGAAATGTGAGAATTGTTAATTCATAAACAGACTGATTGTATATTAGTGACCAGTGTTTCAAATTTCTCCTGATATCAATATTAATGCCTTACTTAAATAGATTCAATAAAACAAGAGTCTCCAGCGAGTCTGTATTGCTCACCTGGTGTTTGTACATAATGCTGATTCATGTTCCATATACATGTATTTAAAATCATTTACTAAAATTGTTTAATCAGAATTTAAGAATATTAAAATAATGGAGATGTGGTATGATTGCCAGTAAGACAACTGACCCACCAGAGTTCAAATGAAATGGATGTGTAATACACAATTAAGTTGTTCATCTCATAAAAACCTCATTAAACCACATATAATTCAAAATAATGCAATCATTTGCAGAAGACCTTCTCCACTTCATTCCAAATAAGTTTTGCTAAAATTAGCCTTGTAGTTTCAAAGAAGTGCCACCATTGCCCCCATGTCTGCCATCAAATCAACTTTAAATTAAAGATTGTTTGTAGAGGGTCTCTAAGTCATCTGCAATCTGAAAGGGTTGAAAATATTTCGCCAAGTAATTTCAGAGCAGTAGATTTTCGAAAAAATTGACATAATAAAACAAATGTTTCCCATGTTTTTTTTAAATTTGGCCATGTTTTTTTTTTAATCAATTCTTAATTAGAGCCATTATCATAACAATTCAAACAAAAGTATGTTTAAGAATATATCAGGAGATTTTAAAAACACCAGCAATCAGTCCTTAGTTTTAAATAGAAGTGAATGGTGACTGTGTACCACACTTCCATACTTACCCAGTTTTCTTTCGTCTGTAGTGCGGTGATAATTGTGAATTTGTTAGTTAATGTCATAAAAAATGTGGACACACAATAATGTATTAATACAAATAATAACATTTTCATCTATTATTGAAGGTATAAATAAAAGTACGAAATAAAATAACGTGCACAGGTTTAAATTTATGAACTTTTTTTAATATAGTTTCTACACACACTGTGTAAATATATATGTATCTACATGTATTATTGTTTAAAATTGAAATACTAAAATTTATAAAAAAAAAAAAGAAAAAAAGGAAAGCATGCCTTTGTTAATCAAACATTTCTGCTGACTAATAAACATATAAGATTATTGAATAAATGTGATTCTAGTCATACATGTATACATTTTCTAAATCTGCAAAAACCATTTTAACAAGACTTCCATGGACCAATCTTGTTCCTCATTGTTCCATACAGATGTGTGTAATTACGCAAACATTTCATCATTTTTTATTCTTCACCAGAACTTTTCATTCAAAAGTTTTTTTATAAACGTCAATGCTCAAGCCACACTGGTGACTTTATCTTACATTAATATGGTGAAGAATAAACACAAAGTATCATTCCTCAATATGAACAATGCAATTTTTTCCCCCTTATATAAATCAAGAGTCAATTAAATTTCCCACTATAAATTACTACATCCTGCGTCTGACAAAGATTTCACCCAAATCAGATTATCTGCTTTAAAATTACGTCTTCATTGACATGATTTTCTATTTGCTTTGATTTGTTCTGAATATCATTCAACATTTGATCCACAACAAAACTTATATTACAACATGGTATAAATTTCCTTTAAGCTTGTATGCTGACTTTGGTAAATGCATGAAACCAAATATCCAGGAAAATGAAATTATTTCTAAATCCTCAAAAAAAATAATAATACCATCGAAAATAAATGAATTCACAGTAGCCTTATAACAATAATAACATACCCATTTTTTTATGACTTTTTTTCATTAAGAATTGAATGATCATTTTGTAGTTTTATTGTGATGAAAATATATTTATGAAAGAACATTTAATTTGAAGATCATATCTTCCTTAGATAAATATGTTCATCAATAACTGAAAATTAAGAGTAAAAATAAATAGTCTGTATCATTAAGTTCTAAAAAATTTAGTTTTATCATGTTTTTTTGTGTAATATACTAAAAGCAAGAATGCATAGTTTTTCTTCTAAAAGCAGTTGTCTTTTTATGATGATAGCACTCTTCAATAAGTCAAAAAAATTTAATAAAATAATAATTCAATGGATGTATGAGTTATTCCCCTTCTTAGGAAAACAGCACACACAAGGGTATTCAGTTAAAAAAAACACTTGATAAGGGATTTCATTATCTCCCATGTAGGATGGTAAATGTCTTTTTTGTAGGAGGTACTTTTCTTTATAATGTATGATTACCCTATATGAAAATATCACAATTAAGATGACCTTAATCAATAGAAAGATATAAGTACTGAGCTATTGAAAGGCATGCTTGGTGGTGATTACATCATGATGTGTCCCTGTTAAAGTGTTTACTTTAAAAGAATTATCTGAGAGGGTAATTATATATAATCAAACTGTTTTCACCTTCAATTAGCAGCAATCACCATCTTGCATAGTAATTCACTCATTAATTTCAAGCATACATGTATGTGAATTTTTACCAAATCCCCTTGTGTGTTCTGTTCTTCATGTTTTCTTCAATGCATGCAATGGGAATAATAAATACTGTCTTAGCATACAACATTTTTAATAATTTGAAATGATGAATTATATCCAAGATGGATTAATATATTAGGCTTTAAAAGAAAATATCACAAATAAATCAGAATCCAAGCTAAAAGTTGAAATTGAAAGGAGGGGGCCCGCATTAGTGGAAGATAGCGAAAATATATTTATAATTGGGAATTAGCACTTGTTAGTTTTTCCCTTTTTCATGTTTTTCCGGCATTCTATTGAATAGAAATCAAATGTAACAAAATTGTCCTATCAGAAAAAACAAACTGCTAATCATTCACTCTTTATGGGAGCATAAAAGTATCCTAGGGAAAGGGGAATAACTCATATTCTAATTCAGTTCAGGATTCATGAAATGGGTAATCAAAAGTGCTATACATCATGTTCATATTTGTTTTAGAGTGAATGTTATTACAATAGAGAAATACTCAAATGTATAATCAATACATACAATACAGTGTCTTCTTTTTCCCTTTCAAACATTATCATAATGTATGGATGTGGCTCTCTGTTTAATTCTGTACACACTGCCTCATATCTGTATGCTGTGGAATGGATGTCGGACATCTTTGATGTTACTCTGCAACAAGATCGAAAAATAACTAATATTAAAGAAAAAATATGGTAGACAGACCAAGATGGAGGACCCAATATATTTTACATACAATTGTTGTGATAGTCTGACATTGAAATTCAAATTATTCGATGTGTGTTAACTTATTTGAACAATTTATTTCTAATAATTGAAAAGTAAAATGAGACAGTAAGATAATAATATATATGAACATATACATAATTGTACAATGAAATATATACAATTTAATCCAGAAAAAAAATACTTCTGAATTCAGATACTTTTTCTGAAATTTGATTCTCTTTAACATCAAAATAATGCAAAGTGAAATCAGACAGCAAGAAAATATTTAATGTTAATCCAGAAAAAATACCGCCGTTTCCAGGGGTTTTTTTTTCTGAATTTTGATCCTCATAAACCTCAAAATAATACACATAAAAATATGAAAAGAATGATAATACATGTAGGATTAAATTTTTATGTAATTTTATCTTATTGTTTCATTGTGTAATATTGTTGTTCTTCCATAGAGGTAAGTAATCTTTTTGATGTTCAGAGGTGGTCGGCAGTGTGCAGTGCACAAAAAGTTGTAAAAGTTCCTTGCACAATAATATGACGGACATAATTATTCAAAAGGTAGATAACTGGGTATCGGGTTCATTCGTTCCCATAATATGTTTGCACCTCACAATTTTGGCCCCAGGGTTCATTTGCACCCAATTTTTATCGAAATACAGGTTTATTTTTTTTTTATGTTTTTTTAGATGTATATACATGTGTCACAATATTTATATTTTCATAAATAAAGTTTCGTGAATTTTTTTAATGAAATATTGTTTTGTGATTAGTTGATTAAATATTTAATGTTAATATGGTATTTACAAAGCTATGATGGTATACTTGTTATATGTCAACTTTGAAAATCATGATTGTTATTGATTTGGACCTAATTGCATGCTAATAAACATGTGCTTTGTGGCCCAGTTTTTGTGTTATTTCTTGTTGTCGTGGCAATGTCATTCTGACGAGTTTGATAGGCATTTGGTATCTTCTCCTTTTCTTTTACATTAGTCTTAGCTGAATGAACTTGGCCTTCTTATTCATTTGGTCAATATAATTCACAAAAAAAAAAACTAATGGGAACCTGTGGATGAGTATGAATTGTCGTGTACCCAAAACGACATATCTCAAAATTATATACTTGAATATCTATAAAAAAAAGCAGTACAACACCATGTAAAATAAAGTTTTCTGGTCAAATCTATGTTGGATCTCAGGTAAATATTGAGTTTTTAGTTTTTCAGGGAGTTCTAGGGAACTTGTGGTACCTAAAAAATATTTGTGTTCAAACAGGGAACTCGTGGTACCTAACAAAAGTTGTTTTCAAACAGGGAACTCGTGGTAACGAAAGTTGCGGTCAAACTGAAAGACAAATGCCAAAAATGGTAAAAAAGTAAAGTTGATTGTTAATGTTATGTCATCATAATGACCCCTCTCACCATTCGATAATTGTTATATCTGTAGAATAAATAATGCTATGATGTAGTTATTGTTTAGGAAATACCAAACGAGATCATTTAGGAAAGGTATTGCGAAACGTATCTTTGACTCTGGTCGTACGAAATTTAGGCGCAGGTGATATCATATATCTGCAGAGTTCACCGCCTGTAATTTTGTTGGATTAAGGAATAAATGTTATAGGTATTTTGAAGGTTTGTAAGAAATTATCTTATTACTTTACAATCGTATTCAGCAACCAAAATTCGGGTTCCCCGCCAGCGTTTGTTGCTACAACAGTTTTTTCTCGTGAATTCTCGGAGCAGGTGATTGCTAACAAGGGCGATAATCGAAGAATAATGTCTATCGAAGTACCCAAAGTCACACTAAAGAGTGTATAAAACATGAACGGCCTTAAAAAAAAAATTTCTATGAGAAGTTGCTCGGTACTCTGCTCATCGCAGTTTCGTTCTCTTTTCCGAATTTTCCGAATAGTCGTTTTGATTTTATAAAGGGGAATAATTGAATGTCAAGTTTGATTGTTTTATACTTATGGTCCCTGGTTAAACACAGATTCGTGTACACATGGGAAAAAGTAGGCTAATTTCTGTCAGTTTAACTGAAAATCTCTAAAAATCTTAGTGTACAGTATGTGCAGATTCTTAAGTGTTGTGAACTTTTATTCAAAAATGTAGATAATATCCTTCCTTAGTCGTACGTTTTTTGCTAATTGTCTTATAAAAAAAAAAAACGGGATGTCAGGTTGATGTGCATCCTTATTTCTACGGCGATGTTGTTTACGATGCATGTAAACTAATAGTCCAAATAATTATGACGTCTTGAAAGGCTATTATATTTTTTTTCTTCGACGCCTTACGTCGATGTAAGGCGTCAAAGAAAAAAATATAATAGCCTTTCAAGACGTCATAATTATTTGGACTAGTAAACTAATTAATCCTTTGGATAAAGTTATTCTTAAAGGTTATCAATCAATCAAACATAGTAGTAAAATCTGTGATTATTGTTTTTATCGGTACTTATAGGCATGGACCATTTGACTTTCTGGTGGGGGAGGGGGGGGGGGGGGGGGGGTGGATTTAGAATATTTTTTTTTCTCAGTCAATCCAAAGCAAGAATATTTTTTTCAACATTTTTAAAAACAAAGGAATAGGACATGAAGCCAGAATATTTTTTTTTCAAAATAGAGGCCAGAAACCCAGCCCCCCCCCCCCCCCCACCCCCAGAAAGTCAAATGGTCCATGTCTTAAACATTTATTTTGTTTTTGAAAACTTAGTTAAAAGTTCATAAAACATAACTAAATGTATATTGCTACACATGTTATGAAAACTCATTATCCCGGCTACATCCTGTCGATACTGCTTACTTATATAGTGCACAAGTTAATGCGTTTCTCAGACTGATTTTGAGTCCTAACACTAACTCCGTTGATGTGTACTGATTGATTCTTTAGTCTGGAAGAACATGATTTATTTATTAGTTGTAATTGGCTTTAAACTAGCTTTCAGTAATTGGTGGTACTCTTATTTCGATGTTTTGTGCCTATTGTTTTTCATGTTAGTTGTTTTTGTGCCTCGTACCATTCTTTGAGTTAAGCCAATTGCTATTGATTATAATATTATAGTGTGTTCTTATGTTGTACTGTTACACAGAGGAATATGGTAGGATTGATATCTCACTTAACATGTTTAACCCCGCCGCATGTTTGCGCCTGTCCCAAGTCAGGAACATCTGGCCTTTGCTAGTCTTGTATGTTTTTTTTAAATTTTGGTTCATTTATATGTACCAGATTTTAGTATGACGTCCATTTTCGTTGAACTAGTATACATTATTGTGTATAGGGGCCTGCTGAAGCCCGCCTACGGGTGCGGGATTTTCTCTGAGTCTGTTTTGAAGACCCATTGATGGCTTTAAGCTTTTTTTTTGCACTTTGGTCGGGTTGTTGTTTCTTTGACACATTCCCCGTTTCATTCTCAATTTTAGTGTTGTATTTTGGGCTGTTTTATTTTTCTATGTCCATGTTGGCTAACCGGTATACCATTGTAAACGTCTTGTCAATTCTCTGTGTTCGAAATTGGTGCTTTTATTTCATCAGTTCGCAGTGGGTCAAGTTTGAAGGTTGAACAATTACATGACCGATGGTTTATGACTTTCAGAGAGACTCATCAATGTATTTCAAAAAGAGTGGGACTGGAACTAGTGTTCCTACCGGAGCCTTGATAGCAAAAGTTTAATCCGTTATTTTCATGATTTTATGATCTTACTAAATCTGTTGAAATCAATACGAAAATGTGTCTCTTTTATAAAAAAAAAAAGGACAATACAATTATTCATTTTTATCTCATTTTATTCAAAATAATGTGTTTTTGGTTTACATTTTATTTATCAATGAAAGTTCTGTTATTGACAATTAAAGATTGTTCTAATATAGGGAATAAACTTAAATTTGTAAACATAAGGAGATGTGGTACAATTTCTAATAATACATTTATCCACCATAGACCAAATAAGATGGAAGTAGGCAACTAGGTACGGCTTTCATCAATTAGCAAAAATCAACCGTATACATAGAATGCTATAAAAGGCCATGACATGACAAAATGTAACACAATTGAAACGAGAAAACCAACGGCCTTGATTTATAATAAAATAACCGTTGCAAACAAAAACAAATATGACAGAAATAATTACAACGAACGAAACATAATTTGTATATAATTGAACATGTTGAACACCCAAGTTACAACAACAATAAAACAGAGAAATAATTACAACGATTAAAGCAATGTAGGACTTAAAAATACTATGATTGCTTACTTTGAATTACCTTTGCTATAAAATCAATATTAAAAAATTATTTAAAAAATTAATTCGGAATAACATTAATATTGTCTACTTTCATATTGTTTTTCAAAAACAAAAAAGTTTTACTATTCGATGCTTTCATCAATTTATTTTTTCAACTCAAATACCAAATTTTTAAAAATATCTCAAATATATTTAAAATTCATATTTTATTTTATATAACAATTGAATTGGTGTCAGAGTATTAACTAATTACAATTTGATTTCACTTAAATGTTGCCAAACTGTATTATAAACTGTCGTATAAAAACTGTCCACCAATTCATCATCATTTAAACATTTTGATAGGTTTACAACCACATTATCATCGGTTATGTCATATATAGCTTGCAGATATAATGTTGAGACCAAACACAAGCAGAATCATTCCATTTATACTGGAAACGTTTATCGATTTCGACACAATAAGAAACAGATCCGTTTGGTTCTCCTGGTGCCCATCGTGTGTAGTTCATATCTTTTGTTTTGCCATCGGAAGTAACCCATTTGTACACATCACCTTGCCTTTTTCCACCTATCCAGAATTCAGTTCCTGCAATAAAGAAAACAAAGAAGTGCAAACATTAGGCGAAAAGTATCGAAGTGATATTCAAGTCAATTTGAACAGCAATTTCAAAATAAATGCTATTTGTATGGGATGTGAGTGGCATTATACTTCATTATACAGTATATTAGTAATATATTAAGCAATGCGTGTTAATGTTAAAAGCTTGTGATTCCTAAATAAAGAATCACATGTTACTCATTTATCTTTTAAATAAAGACAATGAATTAGATACAGGAGTGTTACTAATAAAATTGAGAATGAAAATGGGAATTATGTCAAAGAGACTACAACCCGACCAAAGAGCAGAAAACAGCCCAAGGCGACCAATGGGTCATCAACACAGCGAGAAAATCCCGAACCCAGGAAAAATGTGTACTATTTCAGGGAAAATGGACGTCACACTAAACTCCGAAACATATAAATGAACTAAAATTAAAAAAACATACAAGACTAACAAAGGCCAGAGGCTTCTGACTTGGGACAGGCACAAAAATGCGGCGGGGTTGAGCATTATTTGTGAGATTTCAACCCTCCCCCTATACCTCTAGCCAATGTAGAATAAACAATCACACAGCAAAACGCACAGTAAAACTCAGTTTTAAAGAAGTCCGAGTCCGATGTCAGAAAAGATAACAGAAGAAACTAAGCAAAATGACAATGATACATACATTAACAAAGGACAACTAGCAGTTACTGACATGCCAGCTCCAGACCTCAATTAAACTGATTGAAAGATTATGTCTTTATCATATGAAAATCAGTCACAATCGTTAGGGGTTTAGTATCATACCATCATAAAATATATGAGAAGAACATAACCCGTATCATGACAACAACTGGTTTTAGAATACATGTGTTTATTTCCGATGCAAAGACTCTATGAGTGAATCATTATTAATTCCAAAATATGCCATCTTTATTGACCTGACAACAGTATAGTAACTATATCTCTTCTGAATAGATCTGTTTAAAGGTTTGATTAAACATCATTGAATCAATTTATCGCTTCAGTAAAAAAACATCAGTTTGACATCTATATTCTGTTGCTAACGTTTGCAAATGAGACTCAAAAGGTCTGTAAAAAAAGAGGCGATATTGATAAATTGGTGGGTACTCACAAGCACTTGTCTCTGAAATGTTTTTTTCCTATATACCTTATCTTATTAAGGTATATAGGGGAGTAACTTTTAACTTTAACTGCACCATTTCAGGCGAGAAAACGAGTTTTTTTTAAAAAAGGTGAGTAATGTGGGTGAAAGTTATGTTTCAGCGGTGGTACACAGAAGCGCATGTATAAAATACTTGAAGCAAAAAAGTGAAGCAGTGGACGAATTCTGAACTGGTAATTGTGTCTTTGGCTCAAACAGATATAACTGTCGCACAGTCTATTCTCAAAAAGTGGGGTTGATTTTTTTAGAGCATGTATCGTTCACCATCTCAGTTCAGAGTGGTTACTATGAATAAGTTAGAAGCTAACAAAGCTGACATGAAGTCTCAAAATCAATAACCGAGGGAACGAAGTATCCTGTAGTAAAATTCCTTCCGAATATAAAACATCTTCCGTATACCATGAAGTTCAATATTGGTAACACAAAAATATGAATATATTCGAGTAAAAACATAAGTAAAATACGACCACCAATCGAAGGTGTTTTTGAACTGTTTGCCGCTTTACCATTTGTTTTTAAACTGTCTGACTTAAAATTACTACTTTGGAAAATGAAAAAGAACACCGATGATCAGAACAAAATAAAAAGGGCGTTAGACAAATAAAACAATGATAGATTGATCCAAACGCATTTAAAGATTAGATGGTAATGAAAGTCCTTCCGGTTATCATATTATGAATATTCAAACATCGATTTTAATGTTGCAACAGAGTTTTCAACCACTTGTAATTAAATAGAGTTCATCAATTCGAGTAGACACATCTTTAATATTTTATGTAGTGTTTTGTTTCCCCCCCCCTCTCTCTCTCTCTCTCTCTCTCTCTCTCTCTCTCTCTCTCTCTCTCTGTCTTTATCCCAGGAACATATTGACAACATTTAGTGTGCAGTCAGTAATGAATGCAGTGAGAACTACTTCAAATTGATAAAATAATGCTAAAAAAGACAAACCGTTATGATTACGAATAGATTCAACAAGCCACACAGCTTCATTTTCGGAAAGGATGTCTGCAAGAGATCCGTTCTGTTTTCTGCATTGCTCCTACAGAACAAGGTTGAATTAAATTTCGACAAACGTATTTTGAAACTGCAATCTTGTCTATGGTTATGGTTAAATGTAAATATTTCAAAACCTTAAGATAATTACAAAAGGAAAATTTATTCACAAATACTAGGTTTTGTTATACTGAGTATACATTTGAAGAAAGTCGAAGTGTATCAAGGACGGAAGGCATCCAGGTCACTTCATGCAGACAGGTAGATATCATTGTGCTTAGCCATAAAGGCACGAAGTTTTAAAAATTTCCTTTTCAACGCTTTTTTTTTCTGAATTCGTTTGACACTGATATTTGATTGACCACTATATAAAGATCTTATGTAGACAAAAGCTTGTTTGCTGTAAGTAAAATATAAGCTTCCTGATGTCTTTCACATAGTCTTATGCCCTCCATTGTATTTTCTTTTTCGATATTTCAATGTCTTAATAAATATTTTAGCTCCAGCTATAACGAACGAACATAAATATGCCTAATCAATTAATAAGAACATACGTCATGTAGCATTCAAATGTAAGATAAAGTTCAAATTCTTCAGATTGTGATATCCTATGTAGAGATTAAAGGGTTTTGAATTCTAAGACAGAGTGTGGTTGTTCAACTGTCGTTGTCAATTTATTTTTCGACTAATGAGTTTGAATGTCCTTTTGGTATCTTTCGCCTCCCTTTTATAGAGACGCTTACAATAAAGAGTAGACATAATTTGTCAGACTGGAACAATAAGTATGTAGGTAAGCAGAATGTATTTTTTTTTGTAATCAAGCTAGTGATTGAAACACTTGTCAGGAGAACATTTATAAAGAAGCGATTTAATAGATTAAGTAATACTATTTGTTTCATAAGAGCCAAATAAAATCATGATGAAAATATCAAAACATATCTGTTTTAATAATTACCTGTGCATCGTTCCATGACATTGTTTCGTCACTAAAGAAATAGCATGCACCATAGTCGTCACTTCTTAACCATCCACTATGGCAATCTGTTTTATCCTCTTCTGGGTCTATTTACAATAAAAATAAACAAGTATACTAGTCTTGTTTAATGCAAAATAATATCAACCGTGCAAATTTTACTGTACCAGATGCGCATTTTGACAACTAATGTCTCTTCAGTGATGCTGGAGACCAAAATATTTGAAAATCCAAAACTTTTCAAACAATTAAATTCTTATAAATCAAGAAGGTCAAAAAGTATAGCCAAATCCGGACAAAACTATTTTTCCGTTGCATTTGATATTCATTAGATTATCCGTTACTGAAAATCAAACATATAGTGCATATTCCATTAAAGTGTTTGTATATGATTTATCGTCACGTCAAATAAAAAAAAACCTTTACATCTTAATCACAATATTTCTAAAAGAATTCCTTTTAACTTCAATTGTTCTTAAAAAAAGGCGTTTGTCTACACAAATTATATTACAAAAATGAATTTTAAATCCAAAATGGTAGAATCATTATATACAAAGGCTTATGTCCACATTTTTGCTAGATAGTTGCAATCTTTTTTTTCGATAGTTACCAGGGAATTTATTTTGTACAAGTTTATACACGCTATGTGTCGTATTAGCCTGGAAACCTGGCTTAACCTTTGCCTGTCATCTGTGGAGCAGTGGGCCCGGATCCAAGGCTTTTTTTTAATCTATCAAACATGTTAAATTCATAGAAGACCCCTTATGATACGAGTTAACATGCTATGAGTACTGCATATACAAAGTTATTGGATTATAATATCGATAGTTGCTAAGGAGATTTCTTTCGGTCGCAAGTGTACTTTCATGTTTAGCTGTTATTTCGGTCGTTATAAACGGCTGTTGGTTTTTTGAGTATTTATTCATCTATTAAACATATATCTAATTCTTATCTAGCATACGGGATAAACTTTTATACGTTGGAAAAACGTGTACAAATATAAAAAAAACTTCCACATTGGACCATTCTCAAACCTACAAATTATAAAGATACATACCTAGAAGCAATAATTTGTTATTTAGCGTACTGACACTGTGACTTAGGTCTTGTACTGTTTCATTAAATGTAGTCCAATAGTGAATGGTTTCGTTCAGTTCATGTTCGTTCTGTATAGTGATATCTCGCAAACTTTCGATTTCACAAGAAAATGACCTCCTAGAGTTTTCAAGTTCATGTTCCAACTGTTGTTTTTGACCTTTTAGGCCGGCAATTTCTTGCTCATTATCAATAACTCTCTGTAGTAGAGTATGGTAATTTTCCTTCATTACACTAACTTCCAGATTCATGTCTGTAATGTCGCTCTCCTGACATTCACCATCCACAAAGCTTTGTGTACTTTGACCCGCCAAAATTCCACTACAAGAGCATGACAGAAACGACAGTATCACAACAAACCACATTTTCATTTCATCAAATTTTTCTGCTTTTGTTTTTTTTTTAGATTTACGACGCAATGCTAAATATTTCCTTTAAATGTTCATAAACGCCGATAAGATGGTCATAAAGGAGGAAACATGCACGAAAGAAATTCATATTTCCGCATGATGAAAGACAGAAGGAACTATGCCATCCCTTGCAAGTAGAAACTGTATATGTTGCATTAAACTTATAGAAAAAGGGGTATCTACATAACACGGAAGATATAAGATTCGCTAGACTCTTCCTTATTCTCTTATTTATAAGTTATAGTTAATTAAAAATTTCTTCAAGATGTTTACCCAGTAATCAAATAGATTAAAGTGGCCACTTAAAATGAATACTCTTTATACTTGTAAACGAAGATATCATCCTTTTGATATCACATAATTTAATAACGTTGATATTTCATCAATAGATTATAAAAAAATTGCATAGCTGAAGTGGCCATTGACACACTTGAATCGACGACTTCGTAAACATGTAAGTACGTATACCCAACATCATTCAGAAAACAGGAGATTTCAGAAAATTTATAGATCCGCCCCCCTCTCCTTTGATATTAACATCATAACATTATACTCAATCTTGCTGAAAGGTTGGAAGAGACCAATGAGACATTAAGTAATCGTAAATCTAAAACTGTACAATGTCATGGGAAAAAAGACTAACAAGTTTGCAAAACACTACATAGAAAAACTGAAAAACACAAACCAAAACAAAAATTGGTGGTAATCTTATGTGCTCACCAAAAAAACTTATAAAGAACAATACATAGCCAGATAATTTATTCATCGTTTCAACAGTTACGGATAGACTTCACAAATATTGTGATAAGGTATATTCAACAAATACTGTCAATTCGATTTGGATTTTTAGAGTCTAAAGATCTACTCCAAAGTTTTTTGTCAGTGTCTTTACAATTTGTATCAATTTTCAGTTCCAAAATCGAATACAATTCTCATTTAACAGAGCTTTTTTCTATAAAAATGTAAATTGTAGATAAACAAATCCTTTATTTTGCCGTCTTTTTTGTACGCACAGGCAGAATTCATACAAAGCCTTTAAAAGACAATTATAAAAAGCACTCTGCAAAACATTATTTTTACTTTCAGATACAAAGATGATATTCCATCACTCAATAATCAACATGTCAGTAGGTGCTTGTTTTTATGTGTATCCCTCTGAACTTGGAATTAAGGATAACACCGAAACTAGCTATATATAGAAGATCTGTTTCATGTCTAAATGTTCCTAGATATTGACACAAGCATGCTCCAATAGAGCTATGAGGAAAGCAACAGTTATCAACATTGCATTAGTATTAGGATGGTCGTTACGTATTTGTTTGACCAATGCAATGTGTATGTATTTCTATTAACTAGCGACACGTGTTCGCTGTCTTCAACCTTTAGAAAAGTCGTCTGATCTGTATATTTACCGATTGTGTACTATTCTCAATTGCGATATTTTGACAAATATAAAAAGAAGATGTTGTATGATCGCCAACTCTCCACAAGTGGCCAAAATGACACAGACATTAACAACTTTAGGTCACCGTACGGCCTTCAACAATGAGGAAAGCCCATACCGCATACTCAGCTATAAAAGGCCTAGAAATGACAAATGTAAAACAATTCAAACGAGAAAACTAACGGCTTAATTCATGTACAAAATAATGAAAGAAAAACAAATATGTAACATAGCAACAAACGACAACCACTGAATTACAGGCTCCCGACTTAAGGTTAGATTCGCATGGTGAGTGATGAATGTTTAGCAAGTGAAGTGTACGCTGTCAACGGTCCCAGTTTCGTCCTTTTGGAGTTCATGGTGAGTGATAAATATTTAGCAAGTGAAGTGTACGCTGTTTAAAATTCTCTGATAAATTCATATAACGCATAAGTATTTCGATACAATCACTTTTAATTTTACACATATCTTTTTCTTCCTTTTCGTTTAAAAAAAAAACCACCACTTGTCGTGTCTCAAACTCCCCGGCAGTTCCAGCTCCGATTGGCATACTAGGCCACAGACCACAATTAAATTCCCCTATTAGTTCTTTATAACGTTTTGTTTCATTAAAAAAATTGCACCTTGCATTTTTGTCAAATCTTTTGTGTGTATAATGTATAGTACTAGTCCAAAAATATATCCAAAATTCAGAAAGATTGAACCAATGACTCTTACAAATTTAGCCAATACACATCCATACCCCTATGGACAAGTCAAGAGATGTTCCGAAAACTGTAAATATCACCTTTTTGCACCTGGCCTAATCACTCTTTCCATATCAAAATCAGTTAAAATACAACATCCAAAAGATTATTTCATCTCTCTTCTTTTATTTCCACCCAAAAAAAAACTAAGAAATGAGTGAGGAAGGGAAAGAAAAAAAATTAAGAAAAAATACACTCTAATTTAAAGGAACTATATTCGTGGACAACGAAAAGCGGGATCATTAATTGTGGTCTTGGGCCTATTAGGGGTCTAAAACTTGACCAATTCTAATAAAACTTGACATGATTTAAGCTTAGTGTATTATAAAACAGTTTACAAAGTTTCAAAGCCATATGATACCAATTATAAAAAATGTGGCATTTTTTATATCTGAACTTTGGGTGCTGAATTGTGGCGTTGAATTAGAACAATTTCAACTATCAAATTTGGGCTTCTAAAAACCAAAATATACCAAAACTTACATTTTTTAATGTTTCTATGTATAAGTTATCACCTATTAAAAGCAACAGATAGCATACTTCATGTTTCAGACTTATAAAAAATGGCCAGAAGTAAATTTTATATGAGCCTGTGCCAAAAAATAGAGGTTTTCAAATGAATCGAAGCCTTATATGAAATGTAATATTTTTCACTTACCACAATTTTCTGAAGTTGTTAAGTTATAAAAACACCTTTTACATGTTATAAATGTACTTTTAATGGAAATATAAGTTTCAAATAGCATAACACATGTGAATAAAATGGTCTTCAGCAATGTCAAGCTTAAAAAAAACAGGTTGTCAATTTAGGTCGTTCCCCACATTTGCATATTAAAAAGCATATAAATGATATGGTAGATAGAGATATGCTTCTTTTTGCTCAAATCTTTGTTTAGATATGATAAAACATGGAGCCTGGATGTAACATGACTGTCACTTTCAACTATATATGTAGACAGTATGATTTGATGCAAAGTTATTTACTTTACTTTTTAAAACCGGCATGAAATTTCAGCCTCAAAAGGCCAATATTTTAACCACTAGCTATCAAACAAAAGAAAATAAAGGAAGTCTGTGAAACAGACAAGGTAAAACAACCAGTAATAAGTGCTTTTGATACAGATTCAGTGAAATCTGCTAAAAGGAATTCAACTTGTATGTGCATAGAACCTCATTTTTCACTTGCTTCATACTGACCGTTAGACTAAGACCATTAAAGCAGCACATTTTGCACTCTTATTCTGATTTTTATCTACTTTTTTTTGTGTTCAGTGTTCAAAAATGAGTTAAACATCTACATTAGATACCACAAACACAAATAGAAAACCAGAAAAATCTGTCAGAGAGAAAGTAAGCATGCTACTTTTGTAAAAATATTGAAACAACTGAAAAAGTTCAATTTTGGGCATGTAGGCTGAAATGTCACTTTTTTACAAAATTTCTATCAAATAAAAGTGGAAATCATTTATTCTCATGTAGTTTGACAAATTAATACCAATAGATCATTCAGGGAAGTTGTCAAAGTACAAATTCAATATTTCCTGAATTCACCTCTTAGGCCACAGACCACAATTAAATTCCCCTATTAGTTCTTTATAACGTTTTGTTTCATTAAAAAAATTGCACCTTGCATTTTTGTCAAATCTTTTGTGTTTATAATGTATAGTACTAGTCCAAAAATATATCCAAAATTCAGAAAGATTGAACCAATGACTCTTACAAATTTAGCCAATACACATCCATACCCCTATGGACAAGTCAAGAGATGTTCCGAAAACTGTAAATATCACCTTTTTGCACCTGGCCTAATCACTCTTTCCATATCAAAATCAGTTAAAATACAACATCCAAAAGATTATTTCATCTCTCTTCTTTTATTTCCACCCAAAAAAAACTAAGAAATGAGTGAGGAAGGGAAAGAAAAAAAATTAAGAAAAAATACACTCTAATTTAAAGGAACTATATTCGTGGACAACGAAAAGCGGGATCATTAATTGTGGTCTTGGGCCTATTAGGGGTCTAAAACTTGACCAATTCTAATAAAACTTGACATGATTTAAGCTTAGTGTATTATAAAACAGTTTACAAAGTTTCAAAGCCATATGATACCAATTATAAAAAATGTGGCATTTTTTATATCTGAACTTTGGGTGCTGAATTGTGGCGTTGAATTAGAACAATTTCAACTATCAAATTTGGGCTTCTAAAAACCAAAATATACCAAAACTTACATTTTTTAATGTTTCTATGTATAAGTTATCACCTATTAAAAGCAACAGATAGCATACTTCATGTTTCAGACTTATAAAAAATGGCCAGAAGTAAATTTTATATGAGCCTGTGCCAAAAAATAGAGGTTTTCAAATGAATCGAAGCCTTATATGAAATGTAATATTTTTCACTTACCACAATTTTCTGAAGTTGTTAAGTTATAAAAACACCTTTTACATGTTATAAATGTACTTTTAATGGAAATATAAGTTTCAAATAGCATAACACATGTGAATAAAATGGTCTTCAGCAATGTCAAGCTTAAAAAAAACAGGTTGTCAATTTAGGTCGTTCCCCACATTTGCATATTAAAAAGCATATAAATGATATGGTAGATAGAGATATGCTTCTTTTTGCTCAAATCTTTGTTTAGATATGATAAAACATGGAGCCTGGATGTAACATGACTGTCACTTTCAACTATATATGTAGACAGTATGATTTGATGCAAAGTTATTTACTTTACTTTTTAAAACCGGCATGAAATTTCAGCCTCAAAAGGCCAATATTTTAACCACTAGCTATCAAACAAAAGAAAATAAAGGAAGTCTGTGAAACAGACAAGGTAAAACAACCAGTAATAAGTGCTTTTGATACAGATTCAGTGAAATCTGCTAAAAGGAATTCAACTTGTATGTGCATAGAACCTCATTTTTCACTTGCTTCATACTGACCGTTAGACTAAGACCATTAAAGCAGCACATTTTGCACTCTTATTCTGATTTTTATCTACTTTTTTTTGTGTTCAGTG